CATTGACATACACCTAGACTGTATTTGCTCTTTTAATATACTTTCTTTTCTTCCGCGTCTACTCTTTTGTGCCTCTCTGTGGTCTTGTTGCTAAAGACGTATGGCCATGATCTCTGCTCATTCCAGGCAGCCTGTATGGTGCTTCCTGTGTTATCTTGCCTGACGCTCAAAGCCTTGCAATGCAACACCTCTAGAGACAAGCCCTTATCATGAGACTCCTGCATCTGAGGCATAATGATATGTCCCAGAATGGGGACTTGAGAGATTCACCTTTCGCTGTAGACCGCCATGGATAGGCCAGAATACAGATGCCCGTTTCCTGCATAGACACGTTTCTTGTTGGCACTCATATTGGTAGCCAGCTGCGCCATGCGTGAATTTCCTTATTTTGCCACTGCATCCTTCCAAGGAAGCTCGTAGCAGAAGTATATGTGCGCTTCTTCCAGCAATCAAAGCAAGTGCCATTCGTTCTCAGAATAGAGGGTGGATCTTTGCCGCTGCTTGCTTGAATACCACTCACCAGGCCTAGTCATTTCTGGCAGGAGACCGAATAAATCACAAGTAATTAGAGTAGTGGAGTTGAGGGAGTAGACTAGGTCAGAGATCGAGTTCGTTGTTGATTCTGTTTGTCTGATCTAAATGTCACCATTTTGGTCCTGAAATTCGAGATAGATAAAACAGAATGGAATTAAGAAAAGTTGCCATTGATGAGGGTCTTACTTACGAAATTATACTCTTCAGTGATCCCCATAAAGTAAACTTGCAATACAGCCACTATACAGAATTTTCCCAGTGAGACTTGCAGGATGGCCATCAACAATATTAATTTGTTCGACTAATTGGAAGACATAAATAGGATCAAAAAGATTGGGAAAGTTTAACTGAAGGTCATAGCGCTAAAAAGAGACTTTTTACTCCCTGCTGGCGCGAAACTCCTGCTGCTTCCTCCACTTACTCTGCATCACTAACCCCGGCTGGGTTTGGACTGCGGCCAGCTCCCCCTTTGCTGCCGTGTTGCTTCCTTGTGCTCGCGTCTACTTCCGGGGCCGCCCGTAGTGCTGGTGCCCTGCCGCCTGCTGCTCTCCTCAGCTTCTGTAAGCTCCCCTGGCTGTCTCTTGCTCTGTCTGCAGAGCGTCACGTGATACATTACAGCAGCAGCGCTACCCAAGCTAGACTAAACCGGTGGTAAACAACATTCAATTTGGGGCTGGACTAGGGAGGTAGAGACCAGAGGGAGTGGTAGCAGGTAGTGAAACCAAGTGTGGGGGAAAAGTTTGCTGTCAGTATACTAACATTGGTTGCCTCGTCGGCACTGTTAACTACTTGTAGACTTGGAGTCACCTGGCCCGTGAGGATGATGGCTGCAGTATGAGTGGCGTAGGATCGAATCAATCAAACACAGTCAAATCACACTGTATGCTCTGGGGCAGATTATTGAGTTTCACCTCACCTGCAGCTGAAAAAAAAGAAAGCACAACGAAAATGGAATTGTCCACTCCCTTAAGATAGCACTGTTCCCTTCCAAATCTTTGGTAGGGCGTTTTTACCAAAATTCCACTGACCACCATGGCTCAGAAAAAACGCGTCCGCCAAACAACCACAGCCCTATTCACACAGCTTCCTGCAAACGGGCGAATTCCTTTTAAGCAAGTTCTACAAGCGACATGGATTGCAATGTTCGCTCTCGTTATCGGAATCTGCTTTGTTCTCGCAATCGCCTTCTCCGCAGATGGAAAGCCCACAAATAGCAATAAGTGGTATGAATATGCTCCGACGTTTGTCGCTTTGGGAGCAGTCGTACTTCGAGGGTCTGTCGCCGCTTTGCTCGGGATTGCGCTCTATCAGAACCTGTGGCAGAATGTTGCGGCGCCGGCCAAGGCCAATGAAGAGCCGCGTGTTGAGACGGGAGGGGAGGGAGGCATTCCGTTAAAGAAGGTTGAGTCGCTGCACTTGGCTTCGCGTTTGGCAGTCGGCATGTTAGCCTATCCGTTGTTCCGGGCTGGCTGGATAATTGGTTTCCTGGGACTTGCCGTAACCTCTGCTGTCCAGCCTGTCCTGCAGTCCGCCATTACAGCCAGGCAAGAGAAGCAGGTCATTCCTATGGGTTTACCGATATATCACCCCCAGTTTAACGGATCGCTTGCCTTAAGCGACTCAGCAGCAATGCTTGCAGCGGGTCCGACGACAATATCGAGGAGGTCAGCAGTCGCAGCTCTGATGGGAGAGAACAGCGGACTTCGTTACACAGATGCCAACGTTACTGGTATTGCAAATTTTGGCCCCGTCAAGTACCTCGATGTGACCTGTAACATTGAAGCTGTCCCTGGAAACAAATCCAATCTAGGCGGCTGGGACCTATACAATTTCACCTACCGATATCCAGACGCGGAGGAACGCGCTTCGGGTGATCCGAAGTACGATTTGACCAAATTCCGAGATGTATCCAATATCTCGGTCCTGTATGACGGAGTTGAAATTTCGCAGGATGCCAAATCAAGGGTAGAAGTGCAAGCCGTCATGTTCAACAACACACATTACCTTAGGCACCTATGCATGGTTCAAACCGCGATTGGAAGCTGTGCCACTCCTATTACAGCCGGAAGTGGACGCATGGGCGACCTCGCCTGCTTGAGAGATCAGCTTATTAATGTCGACAGCGACCTCGATAAGGCCGGTTCATTCTACGGACCGGCTGGTGGAGTGATATCGCTATTCGGATCTTTTCTAGAAGTATTTGCCGGGAAAGCACTGCTCACTATACGTGGCAGACTTAACCCTGGTAAATCTCTGTTTATGATGGGAACCATGGTTGCGGATACGGATAAAACGCTCGTCATGCCGTCAGATCTCTTGTCACATATGCAGCGAGTGCTCTGGGTCACGCCTTTGCTCGCAAAATTCGGTACTCCGGAACAAGAAGCACTAAACGTCACGATGTCTGTCCTAGATGAGCGTAACATAATCGTCTACAAAATCGACAAGCCGCGAATCATCGTCACGGTCGCCGTCCTCCTTATCATCGGTCTCGGGTGTTTGGTCTATCTATCTCTTTGCAGTAGCGGAGCTTGCGGACGTCTCACAAGAGACAGCTTGGTTCATTCCCTTACAGTGGCGGGCCCCAATGGCCCTGCGATCAAGGGGGCGTGCTTGGCTTCTTTGGAAGAAATATTGGATAAAGCGGGAGATGAGAAACTCAAGTTTGGTGTGCTTCTAGCGGCAACGGACTCGGTAAGCGGACATCTTGGGTTTGCAGAACAGCCTCTCGCACCGAGATCTCACGAGAGTACACCAGTTACAACTGTTGGAAAACCGGTGCCAGGGAGGTGGTATGGGGGTCAGGGTTGCCTCAGAGAAAAGAAACCTCAAGTTGAAGTTAGATAAAATGGTAGCTTAGTTCAATTGCTCCTCACTGCAGAGCAGACGACATCGAGGTATTCTATCCAACGCGAGCATGCAAGAGGGATGAATCCCTCGCGACGGCATCAGCACGACTGGCGGCTTACCTCCCTCAAAGCGGTAATGGGTCGATTCTAATTACGCCTGGAAGTAAAGATGCGGCAGACCGGCTGGCAGGAGGTTATAAGAACATCAAGCTCTTTATAATCTGGGATGATGTGGCAACTTTCTTCCGACCTTTATCAATATGCGCCTGTCGCTTGGTTGAGTCAATCGGTTCGGGCTGCCACGTCAGCGCCGGAACTAGAGGTATCAGTATCTTTTTCGACGAGAACTTTCGTACGAACCTTTACGTAAGAAGTGACAAGGCCGGCGGTATCGTCATCCTTCTCGAGGCTCTTCGGGCGGGACAGAAGGTGGAACTGAAAGTGAAACTCGCGTCTGTGCAGCACGGTCAGAATAACTTTTGAAGGTCACTTGCACTGCTTACACGGTGGCGAAGCTCTGGGCTAGGCAGAGTCCCCCGGACATCAGGAACAGGACAGGCTAGAGGAGCATGTGGCTCGGTCAGGTTGCTGTCTTATATGCCTCCCCGCTTAGCAGACTAGACATGGTTGTCCACGGACGTGCTGTTCGAAGCGGGTCACAAAAATGGATGCTCTCGTCAGACGCCGATTGTGCATGATCTTCAATGTGGGGGCTTATTTGTTGGACACTTGATTAGTAAAATGCGTAATCCGAGTAAAATGAAAGTCTCTGTTCTGGCGCAAATGGTCCTGCGACTCGCACTGTTTATATAGATATGATATCCCGCTAGCAAGACTCGTAAATGATGCTGTAAGTGCGCAGCCTCGGTATGCCGATAGCCAATCGCATTGGCCAGAGGGCTGCCTGTCCAACATCCTTCATGAGATCAAGTATGAGTGCAGAGTCTAAGGCCTTTTGGAGGGCCGTCCAGGAAGTTTTCGCAGACGGCTCGCCGTTCCCAAGAATTATTGGAGGAGGGACGTAGTCGACTCGCTGAATACCAACTTTTACTTATGAATGGCAAACAAGTCAACTCGTACTTCGTGCTATTTATAGTCTGACCGCGAGAGAATCGCTTGGGATACATCACTGCAATATCAATGATAGATTTCAAAATTGCTTTGATAGGGATAAAGTGATGCCTTGATTCGTTTCTACTTTCGCCTGGAAAGCGGGTAGCTGACATGCCTCGTTACCTTCAAGCACCAACCTTCCAATCTCACAGGAGTCAAGCTTCACAGAATTCACTCCCTGGATATGAAGTGAGAGACGATTCAAATGATTAAAAGGTCTGTGGATTATACACACCGTAGAGCAAAGATATATGTGTGCTGCAGCATTGGAGTAACCGCCATGTAACTCATGGATTGAAGGGCTTCTGTCGAGGAGCTCGATCAAGGACTCAATATCAGACTTCCATATCTGATGTAGTTACCACGTAGGAAATAACCTCGAATGGCAATAGCACCTTGTCGCTGATACTATGTCTTCAATACTATCTACCAAATCATGCCGGTTGTCCAGCCTCAAGACGAGAGAAGTTGGTGGATTCCAGAAATAGAACCCTGCAGTTCCTCCTCGGCATATGTTTTGCGGTATACCTGCAATTTCATAGTTCTCCCGAAGGTCTAGTTCTAAAGTTTAACCTAAAATGAGCTGGCCCTGGCAGAGATCTCACTTCTTTCGCGTTGATATTCGGCCCGAGGGACCTCACAACGAGCGGCGACCGGTCCTTAGCAGGAATATCACGTACAGGTAACCGACATCTAGTCCAAAATACATTAACAAGAACCATTCTTCCGAAGTCTCCGCTCCGGAGCGTGCGGTGAAGATGATGTTGAACTCGAAGGGAATCCGAGACTCAATATCGATCGTAGTTCACGGTCTGGATGGAGAAATTCAATACTAGATCCCCATTGCAGTGCAGCCATGTCTGTGTGATAGACAGATCACTACTTATCCCAGCAACGGTAGTCTCTCGATGAGCTGGAATTTCGGACTTTCTGTCAGAGTTTCAGCGATTTGCAGCGGTTTCTCCACTTGCCCTCTTGGTAGTTGCATTGCCCGCATGGTATCATAAAGCCAGGTCTCCGACTAGGCCGTTGATAATCGAAGCATATTCTCATACGAGAATATCCAACTAGCAGTGATTGCATGATTGGTGCTATTTTTCATCAATGCGGGCAGTACCCCGCTGCATGTGAGACATCCTTAGCATGAGACTTCAGCATCGACATCAATTTAACGTTCCTTCGTCTTCTTCTTCATCCATTTCAAATACTTCTAAGATTTATTTATACGCCAATTTTATCTGAAGACTAGTATTACCCATGATGTTCAGGCGCAGCATCTTTCCTCTCTATGCGAACATCCATCATGGAATAATACCCCGCCAACACGGGCTCCGCAGATGCCCTCAACCCATCGCATCCTTCTCGACCAACTTTGCTGTCGCAAACAAACATATCGGCTCGCAAAAAGGCCAGCCACAAGGCACTCATCCACAGAATCAAGAAATCCCATCCTTCAGCTTCGAGTCTCTCGGTCTGAGCAAGACTACGAAGACTGCTGTCCTCGTCATTCTCGGTGTCTTTGGTACTATTGAAAGCTGGTTCTGGGTCCAGACAATTTGGCGCTGGTGGAAGAGCGACGATGAGGATACGAATTAAAACAAGTCAAATCATGCTGGGAACTGGCTTCAGTACCCGGTGTTTTGTACAATAGAGAAGTCCTGCCATTTATACATCTCCGCTCAACAGAGTACTGATTCGTCTATGATAACAACTTTCGTATCAAACAAATTGGCCAGTACTATGAGTCATCGTCTCTTACACCCACATATCAACATGCTTTCGATAAACGATCCGCATTGTGATCTCAAATACGAGTCGGAATATCACCACATCTGCCAAGCCGGCCTTTCCCTCCAATCAAGGACTATGAGTCACTATCCCGAATAAACACGACTCTCACATTTATAAGCAGCTGGATTTCCCAATGATCAGTCTTTCAGCATAATTCGTCGTGGCCAATCCAAACACAATGACCAAATTAACACCTCCTATGCCTACCCAAAGATGGACCAAAGGGGCATACTTTATCTCAACGGACTCGTCGCTAATCCCCCTCGAAACCCTCAACGACTGGTTCGCATCAGACGACGTATACTGGGCAAGGTCACTGCCCCTCGATATCCTGAAACAATCAGTTGAGAACTCCATGTGCTTCGGCCTCTACTACACATCCGACCCGCCAGACAAGGCCAGCACAGGGCCCGAGTTCATCGGCATCGCCCGATTCATCACAGATTACACCACCTTTGTCTACATCACCGACGTCTACGTGCTCTCCAGTCACCAGGGCAAGGGTCTGGGTACTTGGCTTGTAGAGTGCATGGGCGAGGTTATCGATGCGATGCCGTATCTGAGACGGAGTATGTTGTTTACGATGGACTGGGAGCGGTCGGTGCCGTTCTACAAGAAAATCCTGGGGATGAGCGTGCAGGAGAGTAAGAATGGAGAGGGAATGGCTATGATGATGAAGAAAGGGAATGGGTATCCGAAGTATGACTATGAAAATGGAATTTGATTCGGGACTTTTTCGGCGAGAGGTTTTGAGAGTCGGTAATCAGAAGTCGGTCGATTATAAAGGGAATGCGATAATTACGGAATATTTATTGCAATTTATTTAGACGGTTAACGGAATGGGGGAATCAAAAAAAAAAAATACCAAAAAAAATGACCTACGCAGGATTCGAACCTGCAATCTCTTGATCCGTAGTCAAGCGCCTTACCATTGGGCCAGCAGGCCTTGTTAACGACTTTCTGCCGCTATTGGCTAAATAGACCAGAGCGTCTTTCCGCCTTCGATCTTACTCTGCGATTATATGCGTCTCAGTACGAAATATTTCACTGTTCTTTAATAGGTATGACAGTGATGTGTATTTGCACCACTGCGAGTCCTCCGCATTACCCTTACATATCAGCGTCTTTTCAGAACAGAAGGCCTAATCCTTAGCAGCTTCTTTTGGTTCCAGCAACCCTGTTGAAATGTTACCAGACGTATTCTGTAATTGTTGACTTTCTGCGTTGAACATTAGATCTGCGTGAATGTGACAACATGACCTGCCGTGCATTATCTCATGTAATTTATGATCTGTGCCCCGTTGCAGTTGATGTAGCATCAATAATGTATGTCACATTGTGTTTCGCTTTTACGAGTATGGAATAGCATGAGACCAATCATCAAGGAAGTGGAAGGCAAGGCAAGGAGCTCAGGTAGGTAGCATCTACGCAAAGGGCAAAGAATAGAAGCAATTGACTTGAGATGCAGCGTTCCGATCCAATTGTAGAGGTCTTGAGCAGTACTCATCCTAAGAAACCCCGGTTATGGCATCAAGGCTCCCTTGTAGCAGGCACGTCATGTGCAGGGTTGTCTGTGAAGAGAAATATCTATAGAGGTTATCCTGTGATTAGTTGTACCTTAGGCATGGGCCGCGTCAAGCTACCTCATAGGTTAATGTAAGAAGTGATTGAAGAGCAGAAGCTCAAAGATCTTCATTTTCAATTTAGAGCTCATTCAACTAAAGTCCTGTTGGAACGTGTAATGTCAGAATATTGTCTGCCAGACTGGGCCTGCGTCGGGACGCACGGAAGGGGTCGACAATGTCATCTGTAGATCACTGCTGGACTCAGAATAGGATTGATATTTGAGACAGCGAGTCGAACACAGGATGCACTTTCTAGCGCTTAGTCTGCAGGCATCACATCATTCAAACCCGGAATCGAAGAGTATCCTTCCATTCCTATATTCGTGATCTGCAAAAGAAAGATCCCTCACCTAATGACTTGTTTACCAGGTGAGGAGTCAAAAATTTATACAAAAGCCATGATTTTCTAGCAGTAGAGGCTACTAGCATACTGCAGATTCTCTCTGGTCTCAAATGATGTACTCGAAGTCTACCTCCTGCCATTCTCAGTTTGGGCTGGATCTGTCATCCCAACCTTTGGGCGACTAGGTTCTTCGACCTTGATCTGCAACTGGGAATCAAGGTGACGTCCATTTTAGATATTTGCCGGGCATGGACTTGGCCAGGCGCTCATCCCGACCCGAAACGGGCCCGTTTTTCACCGAATCCAAAGAAGTTTTGAGGGTAGGGAAACCGAAACCAAGGCAGTTCCCTAGACTAGGGACAAAATCCCCACCACAGCGGGTTCGGTGTGGGCCCGCGTGGCTTTTTTTCCCGATTTCTGCGGCTGTGGTATACAACGGTCAGGGTGACCAATCAGCTTGGAGCACTGGGCACATGGAAACATGTCTGGCACCCTGTTCAGTAATACTCGCAGAATTTCACCATCATAATCATCATATCCTAGGTAGATTAGTTTGCAGATTGATGTTTCAAAGGGGAGATCACTGTCGATCATATCGGAGGAAGGGAAGATGGGAAACCGTGCCGAATTATCCAAAATAGGCAGGCAGTAAGTAGAATATACCAACGGAAACCTTCATATGAAGAGGTTTGTGTTCACTCACGGCCCTTGATTTTGTTAAACAGGGACGATTGAAAATTCTTTATCCACCTCTCCATGTCATTAGCCAACGAGCACAAGTTGACAGCCATGTCTGGGGATAAGTCTCCAAAGGCATCGATTGAGCCACCTGCCTCTCCAGAGCAGGGGAAACGGCCGCCGCATCGCATTCTTTCAAAGAAGCAGAAATGGAACATTGTCATCTTTGTCTCCTTAGCCGGCTCCTTATCGCCCCTCTCATCGAACATCTATTTCCCAGCTATTGAGACCATATCAACTGATCTGGGTGTGAATGCATCCCTTGTGGCGCTAACAATCACCATCTACATGGTTGTACAGGGGGTTGCCCCCTCCATCTTCAGCACACTTTCAGACACCTGCGGCCGCCGCCTCACGTTCACCATATGCCTCGTTATTTACACGGCTGCCAACCTGGCTCTCGCTTTTACGTCCAGTTATCCAATGCTGATGGTCCTGCGAGGCCTACAGGCTGCAGGATCTGCAGCCACGATTAGCATCAGCACCGGTGTCATCGCCGACATTACATCCTCGAAGGAACGTGGTGGCTTCATGGGGGCCAACGCCGGTATGCGGTAAGTGCAGCGAATACCACACGCCATAAAAAGTATGTTCATATTACTGACGTCAACAGTATGACCGGCCAGGCGTTTGGTCCTGTCATCGGAGGTGCTCTGAACAGCCTCTGGGGTTTCAGGAGCATTTTCTGGCTGCTATTTGCCTTGAGCGTGGTCATCCTCATCGCCCTTCTTATCTTTCTGCCGGAGACTCATCGCGGCATAACGGGCAACGGCAGCATCCCACTTTCGGGATTCAGCAAACCCTTTATCTATATGCTCAAACCACCAATGGTGTCGAAGGTAAGCCCGAAAACGAGTCGGTCATCGAGTACTCGTCCACCGATACCCTTGAAGAAGAAAGCATCCAGTCCTTTGGCCTACATTTTTGAAAAGGATATCGCAGCCCTTCTCGTCTGGGGCGCAGTGGCCTACACCGCATGGAGCATGGTGACATCCTCGACTACAACGATGCTGTTGTACGGCTTCCCCTATCTTACAGAGTGGCAGCTCGGCCTGTGTTTCCTACCGAATGGCTTTGGCTGCATCTGTGGCTCGCTCAGCTCAGGCTGGCTCCTAGACCAAAGCTTCAGACGTGCACAGGAGCGGTACAGACTGGACAACAACATTCCCTCGGACGTAAAAATCGTCAGCCAGCGAGGCTTTCCTCTCGTGCGGGCCCGTCTACACTACATGCCCCTTTTCAGCATCGCACTCGTCATCGCGCTAGCACTATACGGACCAAGCTTCGAGTTCAACGACTTGCGGCGCCAGTTTGGTCCGAACCTGGCAGCGCCGCTCATCCTCCAGTTCTTGATCGCATTCACGACCATGGCTCTCTTCAACATCAACTCGACGTTGCTGGTCGACTGCTTTCCTGAGCGCCCTGCCAGCGCGACAGCCCTCAACAACCTGTGTCGTTGTCTGCTGGGCGCGGCGGGTGTCAGTGTCGTCCAGCCACTAATTGATGCCGTAAGGGTGATGAAAGCTTTCTTCATTGTGACTGGCGTAGTGCTCCTTTTCCAACCGCTCATTTGGGTTGAATGGAAAATTGGGGAGAGGTGGAGGCGCGAGCGAGAGGACAAGTTGGCTGCTTGTAACGAACCTTGAAGTGTATCCCGGCTGCTAACAGGCAAATTGTCTCCAACCTAATGTGCAACGAAATCTACAACGAAATATACTGAGGAATGAATTTAACTTATAGCCTAGACACAATCAGTGCATAGAGAGTAGATTAGGTTGTCCGACGGAAAGCCGGCATACAGCTAGGCTTAAGCCACAAGGAAAAAAAGGTAACAGATTATACCTACCGAATAACGGCCCATTATTAGCAGTACTTCTATTTTGCGCTAGGGTCAGACTGAATAACCGTCTTCGCGCGATCGCAACCGGTACAATACAGTGCGGGCCGCGGATATGCTGGTGTTCACTAATCAGATATTTGAGTGGGCTCAAACCCGACACAAGTACAACATAACGGAGCAATAATCCTCCCGATTGCATATGCGGGAAAACCCAAGCGCATTGATTCCACTTGCATCGCTCTACCGTTTAGGTCGCCTAATTTCTCCTATACCGTTGTCTGTGCTATTCGGCATTCTGACATGTAACGAGAGAGCTTGATGCTGGACAGCGCAACTGCTGGGTGGAGCATCAACAAGGAGCTGGGACATTGCGCTTATTGTGCAATACTGGCTGAGCCATCATGGAGTTGTGTCTTCAGCATATCTCGGCCCTTCACCTATTATCACTGCGATCAGTCCCAGGACTAATTGTCTCATGGTAGTTTCTTAAGTGCCATATCATAGCTATATAGTATCGTACGACGAGTAAAGCGCCTCTACGATACTACTCCCATAACGAATAAGACCATGAATTTCGAAGAAAAGTAAAAGAAGGAAGAGTCAAACAGAGCCCGGTATATACATGGTGTCAATCACGAAGGAGACAAAGAAAGAGCGATTTCTCATTTAAATTCCACGACAAGCTTCGTACCCCGACCTTCGCCTTTTCGAAGGGTGTTCAAGCCTTCGAATATCTCCTTGAACCCGCCTTGTATGGTTGTGATGGGTGGTGGTCTCACACCATCACGGCACAAACTTGGCAGGCCAGCATAAAACTGGTGAAGAGCCTGGCGATCAGATGGAGCAACCGGAAATGAAGGCCCAAGTGGCGCCATGACGCTGAACTGCCGACCGAATACAGTGTATACAATCAGAAACTTATACTCGATGTCTGGTTTATTCGACTTTCCTTGGTCAAGTAAGGTTATCACTTTGCCCGTTTTCATCACATTAGCGCAAAAGGTGGTGGAACCGCCCTCCGAGAAACAGTCCAAAGCGCTTGTAATGGTTGGATAGGCTTTGCTGATCTCACCGGCAGATGCTGGAGACCGGTAGTCATAAACAGCATCTGCACCGTATCGCTTCACAAGATCGAAGGAACGTGGTGATGCTGTTGCAACAACCTTTAGACCCGCCCTCTTGGCTAGCTGGATCGCGAAGAGACCGACATTCGAACCACCAGAATAGATGAGAATTGGCGATTGATCGGCTTGGAGGTCGCGACCCTTCTCGATATCTGTCCAAGGGACGCCAAGATAGGCGAGTGCAAGCATCGCCGTCGCGGCTGGGACTCCGTAGGTAGCTGCTTCAGCATAGCTTATCGTCTCGGGTACTTTCCAGGCGAGATCTCCGTCAACTTTGAGATACTCAGCAAATGAGCCAACGTCAGGGTACAAGCCGCCATGGACAAAGCCAGCTATCCTGTCTCCCACTTTCCAACGTTGCCCTGAATTCTTCCCAACCTTGGTCACCTGCCCGGCATAGTCGCAGCCAGCAACACTATTTCGTGGTGAAATGAAATCGATGTCTTTGAAGTCTACTGGATTTAGCGCAACCGCACCTACTTTGACCAGGACCTCGTCGTCTGTGATTTCTGGGATTGGGATGTCTGTGACATGTGCGCCCTCGCCAAGAGAACTACCAAGAGCAAAGCTGAGTAACCGCTTGGGCAGGGACCGTTTTGTGACTATGGCCTTCATGGTTGTTGGATATGTATAGCTATACGATCGTGCGCAGATAAGGCTGGACTAGGCTTCACAAAGAGGAGAGGGTATTGAGGAGATTGAAAGTTGTCCAGGACGGTGAGATTGAGTAAATTTGTATACAGCACACCAATATCTAAGTATGCCAGTGATATTGCTAATGGGCAAGGTTACACTCGTTCCAACGCCGGATGGATGTAAGGCCGACGGGGTAAGAAAGAACCGACTCAGTATACAGACCAGATTTCGTTCGTAGGGACGACGAGAAAAGGAGACAATGCCCCCGCGAAAAGTGGCGGAGAATGCGGGATGATCAGTAATCATAATCGGATTCATGGATAACGTCAGGCCAGGCCCACACTTAAGCATGGGCCAAGAATACGTACCAGGTTCAGCTCTTCTACAACTGTTTCTGACTATATGTTTGTCTCCTCTGGTAATAGGTTTATGTTTAGTAGTATGGATGGGGAATGTGTGGAAGGGGTTAGTTTAAGGTTATTTACGGTTAATTCAATGTACTACGGTATAGCGGTTGCAGGCAATGACAAAGCATATGGCCCCTGTACTGTAAGCAATCAAAATAAGTAACTGGTTTGTCAGAAAAGAAAACAAAGAAAGGGAAAAAGTGACAGGCTGGTTTCACAACATGAATACATGGGTGGCTACTTTGAAATGTCCACCTTTCGGCAATCCTATTCCACCTTCTCTGCGGTGCGAATCTTGTTCGTTATAGCTGGCAAGTTAATGAAAGAGGGAAGTAACAAGTCCTGCGTCAATTCAGTAAAGTACGACCTTTGCATTTGGATAAGGGGAATGATCCTACCCAAATGGTTGACCAACCGAAAGTCGAAGCCAACCAGGTCAGAAGAGCCGCTCCTCCAATCCAGAGATGCTTTTTAGGGCTGGATCTTGTTGCGTTGTTGACAACAGCCTCAGCATACGAGTTGACATCCATGGCATTCTTCTCCACCCCGGCTCCAGCTAATGCTGGCTCAATCACATCCTTAGCAGGATAGTACAGGGAACCTTCTGGGAGGACTGGGGTGTTTGCAAGATTATCGAAGAACTTTGTTCTGATTGCACCGGTATTGACGAGGATCGCTCTAACTCCCCAAGGAGAGAGCTCAATGCGCATTTGGTCGGTGATGAGAGCAACTGCGGCTTTACTTGCGTTGTAGTATCCTTGCCATGGGAGTGGCATTTTGCCAAGCACGGACCCGATGTTGATAATGGTCCCCTTTGAGGCAATGAGAAGGGGCGCAAATGCTTGAGTTACAGTAACGACACCGAAGACGTTCACATCAAACATCTTCTTCGCTACGGACACGTCCGAATCCAACAAGGGAACACTGTATCCTGTCGAATAATCAGCTTGTCACGAGGAATAACTGAATGCTGGAAATCTTGTTCACTTACCTAAACCCGAGTTATTCACCAGGAAATCCAGAGTTCCCCCAGTTGCCGCCTTAACAGTCTCCACCGCTTCTCTGATCGAGTCTCCGTCGGCGACGTCCAGTTGTACGACGTCAAGACCCATTTCCTTAAGATGTTGAACCTTTGCAAGATTGCGAGCACTTGCAAACACTCGCATGCCCTTTTTGTGGAATGATTTAGCTAGAGCGTCACCTATTCCGCCTTCGCTGCAACCTGTGATGAAGACCGTCTTCTGAGCCATAGTGCAGTTGATGTTGTAGATAGCCACCTGGAAGCCAGAAAAAGTATTATCACTATAGCCCAACAACTGTAGAATAATATCTAAGTGAGCGATTTATATACAGCTACTTATAGGGTGGGCGGTAGGGAACCTGTTAGCTACATAGGGCCCCTCGCCACAGGCTTCGAGTTGTTTGGTAGTTCATTAGTCATTACATCCATAGGTGACAAGCTTCTGGAAGTCCTACACCTCATTAGGCCTTACCCAGCTTGACCAATTGAAAATCATTCATCAGTGCCGGACCCAAAGAACAATAGATCTGCATGGTTTGCGGCTTCGGGATGATTACAAACCATTCCGTGTCAACCTATCCGGGGCACCAAATTCCGCTTGGCACCATGATAAGAATAACCTCAGGAGCAGATCATGAACAATAGTGTCGAGCACAGTGGAAAGTCCAATAGGTAGCAAGTGTCTCTCTGTCATTCCCCTTTGTCTGCCGGCCGGACTCGATTCTTCCAGGTTCCGGGGCAATATATGACCCCTGTACTGCAGACACGCAAATGACTTTACAGAATTGTTGGCCCGCGTGAGTGGAAGAGATTTGCTTTGTCAATCCAGTCCCGACAGTAGTATAATATTACGATGTCCAGCGAAGACCTAATGGCATTATTTAGGGGAACAGGTTTCATCTATCATTGTGCAGTTGGCCTTATATTTCGGCAATCAGACTAAGCATTAATCTAGAGATCAGGTATCTCTGAATATCAGAACTTAGCTTAGCTGTCATACTGGTTGGGAGGCTTATCAAAAGCAGCCAACACTTCAGTTGATGTGGACGATCTTACAGTATCGATTGGCTCTGACCATCTACAACCTCTCCTTCCATCTGCTGAAGTGACGTCGCGGAGCTCAAATCTCAACAGAAGAAAGAGTCCCAATCACCTCTCCTGCCATTGCGCCACATCGACTTCATGGCTGCAAATGCTTCATGAGCAATACAGCCTTGTTGCCAGGGTCGCCCCCGATAAGCTCACATATATTGACTCACCCGCATGGAGATATTACGGGAGTACTCCATCTCGTACACAGGGCATGGCAAGTGTTTGCAATATACTACCTTAGCTTGTTGTGTCATCATGATACCCATGAAACTGCCTTCTAATTCATGTTTTAGCTGACATTTCCATAGCACGACAGCAAACATTCCACACGGCCATCTCAGTTAGATTAGTCAAAGCCATCCCCTTGCGACGGGTGCGTAAGATACTTTTTCCCTCCACGAAGACCATCCGTCACTCCGGTAATCACATTTTCATAATAATACTGTCCGTCTTTTGGGATACCCAGCGTCTTTCCAACGCCCCCTTTTCTCGTAGGCCCGACAGTATTGCCAGTGCTCTTTGAACTGTCCACTCTCTCGCCCACCAACCATTCTTCGTCTACTGTCCCTAGGAACAAATCAATCTCCTCTGGGCGCTCCTCGTTCCTCCACAACAGCGAACTCCCACATTTTGAGCAGAATCCCCTCAGGCAGTTCTCTGACGAACGGTATTCGGCGTAGGTCGGAGATGTGGAGATTGCTGGACTGATCTGTTCTGGTGCGAGGGACAAAAATTGAGGCAGTAGACTAGCAGTCCACTTGCGGCACATTGTGCATTGACAGGAACCCGACTGTTTGAAAGCAGGTTTTCAGTTAGTGGGGAACCAAGTTCTCAGGACGACGCAGTACCTTTGGCGGCCACTTATGTGCTCCATCGAAATGGACAGTGTAGCGGATACTCGCGCATAGACAGCCACCGGTTATCTCGGAAGGATGTTCCGCGTCACTCGTCATCTTGGTAGAGCTGTTGTCAACCCAGTATGAGAGAGGGAATCGAGAATCGGACAGTAGGAGATGCCTTGGTCTTAAGTCTTGGAGTGTGCGGAGAGCTCGTATTAAATCAGGGCAGGGCCAGAAATGACGCAGAGAAATGACGCAGCGGCCTGCATGGGCCAAGAAGGCGTACAGCAATAGGTGGAGTGTGCCGAACACGAGCTCCGATGCGCATCACCAGTGAGAGCACCCACCTCCGTATATTGACCGCGTATAGTTATACGCCGGCTGGTTACTAGTTGGGTGGAGACTATGACTACCAGCGAATTCTCATATTTTTTGATTCTTTGATCTTAATCCACTTTTCCCCAGAGATGTAACACAGCTAGAGAGATGTTACGGCGGCCAGCACATTCGTCTACCAGACAATATTTTGAAAATTTCAAGCCAAGGACATGACTTTTCTCCAACCACAATTGTAGGTCTGCAATAGGTGAGCTATAGGCGAAGGACCATGATAAATACACCTAACGCAGTGCTTAGGGGAAGTTGCGGATACTCTACAAAACGTCATGCGACGGCGTGCAAATATCTCTTCATCCGGCTTAAGGCTACGAAGTCGATGTCGATATGGAAGTCCAAGGCATCCTCCGAGAAACGGATTCTCTACTAGAGGGATTCGCTTGTTCATTAAGGGCTTCTAGCCCTTAGCTCACGCCATGGCTTTTCAAGATCGGCCATGAAAGCTGCCAGATCTGGCCAGGGAAGATGAAGGGTATGGAGACTGGGCAGACGAGGAAGGACATCTGTCTTGAGGACGTCAAATCCGTCTCGATTATGGATTGGAATAATGAGCTCCTCTAATGCTGTAAATTGGGCGACAAAGTGTGTCAGCAGTTCCCGCGACTTCTTGAGCATCTCATTACCATTGTTCCAGGCCACGCGCCCTGAGTAGCAGAGTCGACGCCATGCGTATCCAGTCTTGTCCAATGGAACCGAATAGATGGGCTCGCCCACAAATTCAGGCGTGTGGAATTCATGCAAGGGTTCATTTGCAAAGTCGGGACTATCCGGTTGTAGAGTGTTGCCGTAATCTAGTACATCGAGGGTGTCTAATCTCGGAGGCGACTGGACCTTCTGCAGAAGCTGGACAAGGCGTAGAATATCCGGACCGAATTGCTCCACTGAGATCCTTCTGAGGTTGGTCGCATGTTGAAAAAGGGTCGGGTCTATAGGCTCGTAGGGAACAACCAGGCCCTCGAAGGGAAGGTAGTGCATATTACCGAGCTGTAGGGAAGTGAGATGAGACAAGTCCGTCAGGTCATCGAGATAAACCACCATATTGGATAGCCGAGTCTGTAAAAGGCTTAGCCTTCATAAAAGGTGGCCGCCGACAGGAAGACACTAACCTGGCAATACTTTGATCTAACAGTAGCCAAGATATCTTCGGTTTCAAGGGACTTTGGTAGATCTGCAAAACTAGTAGGCAGGGTGCGTTTCTCTGGCTCTTTGCTAGGACCTTTAATATCAAGTCATCCACGTCACCAAACAAATCTGCAATGGAAGGCTGGCATGTCCTACGAGACGAAATCCCTGCGGAGCCCACTGTCAGCTACTGGACACAGCCTTTCCCATCCTCGCAATCATCACAGAGTCAGGAACTATCCGTGTCACTGGCGGAGGCGGTCCAACAGTTGTCGCTAATGAGACGATGGTAATGAGACGATGGCAATCACTACCAGACTACTTATACTTGCGTGCCGAGAATGCCCTCATCTACACCATTTGAACAAATCGTCCGTCCGGAAGAAAGCACTTTATAAAAGCAGCACACTGTCGGAGATCAAAAAGGCTGAGGCCTTAGTCAAGGCAGCCATCAATGAGCAAAGCGCATACAATAACCGGCTCTTTGACAATCCTCGCCGCGATGTTATGAAAGCCAGGGACGGCTCCTTTCGTCGTCGCAACACCAATATCCCGAAGTATAAAGTGGATTCCACCGTGGCTGCAGCTGTCGCGTTGCTCGCTGGATTACAGGCTGCACAGGTCGTGACTAATACTTCTTCCGCCAGGCCACAGTCGAGCACCCGGCTTGTTTACACTAGCAAGTGACTCAAGCGAGCCGAATATCCTGGTCTAGATCAAGATGGGTTCGCATCAAGTGGCTTCGGAGGGGTTGTGGAAACCTGCTGCTTGAAAGCTGAGATTACTGGGGACCGTGGTTGCCATAGTTGGCGTATACCCACTGCTCAATGCCACGCAGCGTACTGGCCGCAGTAGTATCTCTAACTTCGCTATCTTTTCAAGAGGTATAGCGGGGACGTCGCCACTACGTCCGCCTATAGCGCTTCTGCAAAACTGGTTGCATTTCATAGATATAGTTACCACATGCTCAGGAGTGAAATGTGGAAAGGAATAGACAGGTTCAAGGAATGACAAAGAATGATAAAGAACGACAAAAAAGGACAAAGAATGAATGTGATTAACTATACCAAAAACATGGGGTTTGGTATGGTTCATCTTCTTTGACCTGTGCACTCGCATCAGATGATCAGCTGCTCACTACCCTAGGCATAAGGCTTGCGCTTCTCCGGATAGCTGAACTCGGGGTCAGAGTAACTCCCGTCATCGTTATGAGTGATCGTCGCGACGGTCTGGCCTGGTTTGGCCTTGGTAAAATCAATCGTCGAAACCTCGCCAATCTGAGTAACATCTACCGTTTCGCCAGCTTTATAATCCCCTGTGCTAACATAATAGGTGACTTTAGGAGTGAGTATGTATTTTTCGCCGGGCTCGGCTCGCCAAACAGCGACAGGGACAACTTCCGCCTTTTGGTTGAGCTTGCCGAATCCGCAATAAACAGTGGCTGCATATGGACAGTCAGATACTTGCAGTTGTTGGGAGGGATGGTCAAGACTCACAGTATCTCTTCGGGTCGTAAATTTTAACATGGATACCGAACGAGTTATCCTTGTCGGTTTCCTCAAATGGAGCAATGAACTGAGGTCCTCCGTCCACGATTTCCATTAAGGGAACCGTGCCCTTCTTGTCTTTAGTGGTAAGCTCCACCGCCGCGTAATCGCTTGTCGAGACAACAACACCATAGTCGACTGGGTCTGGCGTCGTCCCACAAACGGCAAAGTTCGCCACCTTTACATCGAAGACGGCTTTGCCACGGGGAGATGGAACTCCGGGAGATCTGATCCAAACGTTGGTGTATATCTGTCCAACGGTGCTGGACTCTCCGGGCTCTTGGTTGAAAAAAAGGTAATTGTGTGTCTTCCCCGTCTTGTTTTGGACGGTGATGACATATTCAGCAGTGGCCATTGTGAAAAGAAAATGTTGATACCAACGACTCTTGCGGTCGATCTGCAAAGCGAGCAAGTATGATTGACTTGTGAAGTGAATAGGTCTGGTAGGTCAATGGAGAGTAAAGCGATGGTTGGAAAGCCCCTTTTCAGTCAGGAAACTCAAGGTCGTATTTATACCTGTTGGCAAGAACTGCTTATAATTTATTAACTTGCCATGATTCTAAACCCCATCAGGAGATGTGCGCCAGATCCTACTATGAACACATCACATCACCCAATCACCTATTCCAAAGACAGACCTGCAGTACTCATCAGGCAGATGAGTATCTAATGCATAAACAACTCACAGTATCACATCTCCACAGGTTATACTTTCTTGGAATGGCGACACCCAATACCGCTTCTTTGATTCCAGACCTAATGACGCCGGTCCTATACTCGCATCACCGGAAGCTGAAAGCACTATAGTAGGCAACTAGGTATCATTTTGAGCAGGCCTTTGTTTTTCTTCTACCCACCCTCTCCATGTAGCATGCGTAAGAGGACTAGTCACGAAGTGGCTTCTCCAGGTTGCATAAGCGCTGAATACTAGGCATTATTCTGCTCATCGGATTTGAAATATCAGGCATGTTGATAGGAAGACCGAGTCCCAGAGGCTCGAAGTGTACAGATGTGCAGCCTGAATATGCAACTGGTTGTCACACAGTATGTAAGTTCCACTGTTGCCGCAGGCCCTGCTCAGCTATCTCAGAGTACTATTGTATAATGTTATTGTTATTTCGCTGCTATTCTGCTCTGCACTTTTCAGCGTCGCTTCCAGGTTGCGAGGCGACATTCTTTGGAATATATTGTGAATGATTTCGATGTTCGACCGTGCATGCTGCACAACCTGTGCCTCCTTCACGATGGCTTTGATCCCTGAACTAACAACCTTGATATTGAGAGAGCTGGTCTCCGGCTTCAAATTGGGCAGAATGTCGAACTGCGGAATGCGGAGTCTCTTCCGAGGGTTCGAGTATAGAGACTCGGTGTGACTTGTACAGCGAGCAGTTCTCTTCCTGCATGTTGAGATATCAGGCACATGCGCGATTGTGGGTTGGGTTTGCTAGGGACTAATTTCTATAGCGTATCGTTGATGCACTCAAACAGCGTACTCTGTTAGGAAATACTACAGTTGATGGGAGATTACATGATTCTGGCCCACACGGTTTTATTATTATGGGATCATCAAGACTGTGTGCCAATCAAGGAAGCCCTTAGCAGCGGCATGCGTCTTCTGTGTAACAGACAACCAAGTACGTAAGCCCATCTATTTCCAGATATGGCTCAGGTCAGCAAGTATACCCGTATGCATCGTATATAGCTCGGACAGAGACATGGCGCAGGAAGGCAGGCAAGATCTCTTCAGCTTTTTCCAGGTGAAGATAAGACGCCAGGAGCGTTTTTTCAACCCCATGCAATAGTACCACCAGTTGTGCAAAGTGATGTGGAGACCAGAGCAATGTGGCTGGCTGAAAAGTTGTGATGAAACCTGCAGACTTTCTGATGCCTTTTGCACCGTAGTTTTGTACTGCCGTCCAAATAGCTGCCTACAAACCGCAGTTGCCTACAGTAATACACGGAGTACTCAATAGTCCAAGCTCAGCTAAGCCATGTCGACTGTAAAATCACAATTGAAATCCCAAATTGAGGGCCAGACCCCATCTTGGTCCCTTGTCAGGGAATAAGAATGAACCGGAAGGCGCCGTATGTTTGTGGACTTGGCAAGCGCATGCACAGGAGTAACGTGGTTACAATCGCATTACGTGCTTCCATCCAGATTACAGTCTTCTCCTGATACTGGGGGAGGGTCCGTGCTGTGGATAGGGTTCGATGTTACTTGGTGGGAAAGACTCATTCATGCAATGCTGCAAAGATCAAGGCTTCAGAACACGTCACCCATCATAAAAAGCCTGACCTTCTATATCTCCACGGTGCCGATCAACAGTCCGTTTCTCAATCGTTGGCTGGGCAGGCTGGCCCAATCACTTACAGTACTCCCTTCTGTGCTTGGAGAACATGGTGCGATCATTCTGTACCTGTGTTTTATAATCTGAAAAAGGATGGCAGCTAATCTATCAAAATAGTTCCCCAATTTGTATAACATCTAAAAGGGTGAGGATAACTACCATGAACGTATACATTGGTCGTGGAATTCATCGAAAATTCAATGAACTCGTATAGCCAACGCCAAGACTCCCCACAGTGTTTTAGAGACTAAAGAATCGGGCCGCTTCGGGGCAGCCGAAAGTTTATTACCTGTAATGCAGGCTTAGACCACCAAGCCTCACCAATCACCATTCACCAAGCTCTGCTGTCCCTCCCCATGCTCGTGAGTCGTGACAGGTTCCGGCAGCCACTTGCGAGTCCTGAAACCCTGACGTGATGGATCAGGAAATACCCTCCTTGCCATAACGTGACCAGCAAGCGAGCCTATCAGCTCATCAGCAGGTTTCTGACCATCGTTCAAAAACGAAGCTATATTCAATTCCTAAATACCCTGTATACCAATCGTGTCTATTCGTGAAGCTATGTATGATATGGCCTCCAGGTTTTTTTCTCCTTGGATTTGGTCTTCTGATCATGTACCGGCTGTTGCTGCTGGTTCTCCATTCTAAGGACTCTTCTTTGACTCTTGAGTCCTAGGACGAATGCTACGAACCGTCTGCTACTAAAGCCTGTAAAATGACTTCTTAGAGAACTGTAAAAATGGATAGAAAACATATATTCTTATAGCACTGTAGATCACCTCTGAGCAATCTGTAGGTAGAGCCTACAGGTGTCAATCATGAGCCCTGACCTACTCTTACTGGTAAGATCAGCATAAAGGGAGTAGGATAACTATGAATTACCTAAGGAGAACCAATTACTAAACTATAGAATGCTTAGCAACTTATGGAGATATCAATAGTGTACCATGTGATCAGTAGATCTGCGCTATCAGTGTTGGCTGCAAATGGCCGCTTTATGGTCTGCAGTCTGCTGTAATTTATAACTATATATGCTCATAGATCATATCGAACCACCTACATAGCTGTTGATATCACATTAGAACAGGTTAGGGTGGGTTCTAAGCTCTAAATTTAGACTTAAAGATCACAGCAGTTCGGTGCCAACTAGTTTTAAACTCACCTGAACTCAGACTGAATGTAACTCTAGCAGCGGCATCAGTGTGGTACGATACAGCGGACTATTTGTACAAAAGGAACTTTTGGTTTTTTTACAATGATTGCATCTCACCACACTTACCCTCCCTACAGTTACACGCACTGCAGTAATTTTAAAGGGGTAATTATTAAATTAAATAGTAGTAATATCAGATTCTTATATAGTAGGGGTATCAAATCAAATCTTTATATATTAAGGATATCAAATTAAATAGTATTAATGTCGAATTCTTCTATAGTAGGATATTGAATTAATTAGTATCAATGTTGCATTCTTATATAGTAGGGGTATCAAATCAAATCCTCATATAGTAGGGATATTGAATTGAATCCTCGTATAGTAAGGATATCAAATTAAATAGTATCAATGTCGAATACTTATATAGTAGGGATATTCAATCCTTATATATAAAGGTTATATAGTTAGAGTTTATACATATTAAAGACTTAGGGGTACCCCACCACTTATACTATATATTTAAACTATATATAAGTATGGTGATATTTAACATCCTACTACTATACCTCTATAAGAATTTAATATTAATACTATTCTATTTAATTTGATATCCCTACTATATGAGCATTCGATTTAATATCCCTACTATATGAGGATTCAAGGCACCTCCTGTTAACTCCTAATTAAATGCATCCCTAACGCAGAAACGCCTGGAACAAGTACATTTCAATGATAAGACTTAAATGCACACCAGCTATGGAATAAATAGCTAATAAATAGAGAGAACTTATTATTTTCCCAGAGACTGATAACCAACTCACATCACACTAATGAGTATCTTTCTCTTTCCGAAGCATGCTCATTAGAGCAGACCCCATCTCCTGTAAGCATGAGTGCTCTACCTGGGAATTTCATTCAGTATCAACATATTCGCAATAAACGACGGTCGTAAGCTAGCCAACAAAAATATATTCCTATCCGCATCTAGTTTCTACCTCAAAGCTATGGTTAACCGCTATTCGCGAGTGTAGGTTGCTGGGCCGCCTCACACATCAACACATTGTTAAGCACTACTATCATTAAGTGGATGGTCACCTCTCAGGAATCTGGTTTAGCCAATCTGGTACAAGTCTCCTGCTTTTATCAACAGGTCCACAATTGAAATGGTCTTTAATTTTCGCCTATACTTAGTATATGCTAGTTAGATTGACGGGTAATCATTTCAATTACTAGCGCAAGTTGGTCTTACACTTCTTTATGAGTGTGTGAACTATTGGAGAGCGTATTAAATAACTTGATAACCACATCTCTTAGAAATTCCGATAGAGAGTCTCTCATGTGACTATTATTATGGATGCACATATTCCCTCCTGTGGCGTCAAACTAATCATCTAGACTCAGAATAAACATCCAATCACCTCCCAGGCCGTCTGTGGTAGAAGCTAAGGGATACTGCGGCGCAGTCTAGTACTTTTAGTAAGGATTGCACTACCACAGCTAATTAAGCTTAATACCCCTAACTTCTCTTTCTAGGAAAAAGCTATTTATGAATCTAATAGATGCATAGTAACCTAAAAGTATCTAGACAGATGCAGGTATGTCCTTTTTCCCTAAGACCTCAGATTACTTTTTCTAGTATAGAGTCTATGGGCAAGAGTACTAAGAGCTAGGAAGTAAAATTCTTGAAAGCTATAGGGATCCTGCCCTTAAAGTTACTTTAAAAATGCTAGATAACTTTATTCTCCCTACTATCTGGCCCTGCAACTCCTCCACTCCTTATCTCTTTATGCTATCTGTGGATCTTATCTAGATCTTTTGATTTTAGCGTCCAGGATCTAGCCTCTGAGATAAGTATATGGTGGGGCGCATAAGCTTTCCAGCCTTCCTTCCACTGGTGGTTCGCTGACAGCCATGGTGGTACTTACTGGTGGTGAATTTTCCCGACAAATTGATATCCAATGAGGTCGCGTAATTCTACCAACTGGAAAACTGGATCGACACTGTTGCAGGAGTCCTCCTGAATCTGTTTACAGTCCAGTATGAGAGGCTTCGTCTCATCTAATTCCAAATTCCACGCCTCTAAAAAAGCCACAAGGAGGGGGCTACCGGGACCGTCGGGTCCGTCACATACTCCGTTTTCCCGCCATAACTCCTACAAATCCTTTAGTTGGATTTTACATGCTACTTTCCTAAAGCAGGCGAGACAATCAAGTAGGGTGATTCTACATTACTTCCGGTACGGCCCTCCTGCTACCTCATATCAACCACTAGTGACCCCTGTTCAGACATAGTTGATGACGAGAACCGAGGTCTTAAGTTCATGTAAATGGATATAATATCTCCATTGAATGAGTCCGAAAAATCTAATCGATAGCTTGTGATAAGTCTCGAGGCAAGAAATCTTTATTGTCCTGAACTATGGCCAATATGTGGGACCTGTAAAAGCCTCAGGATCACTTGCACCCCAAACAGAGTTCGACAGCCGCGAGGGCCTCAAAGCTACCCGAAAACATTGCACTCTCGCATTTGTAAGAAACAAATGTTGCCTTTCCCGCTGGTCCTTCATGTATACCACTGACTTACCCCATCTCAGCAGCTCTGGAACGTCAATGGAGCTAATGAAATCAAAGGCCGAGGGGGGATCCCGGGATCCAGAAACACCCTCTTGTAGTCCACAAGGTCCAACATTGTAGAGAGCAGTCAGAATCAAGCTGGTTACCAAAAGTAGTAGTTGGTGGTTATGTCCAGAATAAGCTTCGCGCATAATCAATATGCACAACTGATGAACTAGCTGCAACAGGTCTAGCCAATAAAACCCGAAACCGTGTGTGGTGGTTCCTGTTAGACAAGACAAACATCAGTGGCTCTTGCGCGGTCCTCCTCTTGACACATGGAGCGCGGTACAGCAGGCTATTGGCTCATCTATGGCAACCGCCGTCTACTATAACCAGTTTAGACAAATATGCAGTCTAGGATTAGTATCGGATGTATGGTTGATATACTCCGCCGATATCTCCGTTAAGGTGGCGAGATAAGCAATCAGAGGTCAATATACGACAGGGGGTCGATATACTCCGTTGATAACTGCATTAGAGCGAATGGATTAGTTGGAGAATTCAACAGCCTATTCGGGCAACAGTAGAAACCGATAGGGCCATGAAATAATTATTAACTGACGGTACAATGCGTAAAGGCGTCATGCAAGCAGGACTATAATAACAGGCAACCGCCAGCTCGACAAGGACCGAGTCATGATAACATCCCTGTATTGGCGGGGCCATAACGCGGCCCAGCAAGTCGGTCTGGCAAGGCTGTCAAAGGCAGATACTTAAGAAACTCTGACGCAGCGTAGCTTTTGAGTTAAGGTCCTGCATAGATGCACGGGGGAAGACGCAGCCATGACTGATACTGACACTATACGTTCTTCGCAACCATCTGTGGGCAAGCGCTCAGCATGTGATCGCTGTCGGACGCAGAAGCTTGGCTGCATGCGCGTCAATGGACATCCCACCGACGCCTGTTTGCGGTGTGTGCGCTCCCAAGTTGAATGCGTTACCAGTTCGTCCCGCAGGCCTGGCCGGCCCGCAAAGGCTGCCGCTGCCAGAAATATGAGCAGTACGGGGCCGTCTCCGCAGCGTAATGATTATGCTCCTGTATTAGGCCTCCTGGACGTGGACTTGGATGTGGATGTGGCCGATACATTCGACTTCGCCGCTGTGGAGGTGCCTTTTGAGATCCCGTCTAGCTTTTGGGGGTCGAAGGGTATCGCAAACCTCTACCCTGACGACGGCTGCTTTCCCGATTCAGGGATAGGCGACGACCGCTCACCTAGCATGCCTGCCCTTGAGCTCTTCCCTTCCGACAACGCCGGCCCGCTGCGCAAATACCGCATGCAACTGGCACACGTCCAGCAGACCCTATATAAACAGCTGTTTCGCGTCCAATCCAGCCATTGCGACCTGGCCGAGGTGCTGCGCGTCACCTGTGTTCATCATCAACACATGACGTCTTGCGAATCGTCCCCCACCAGTCGTGCCACCTCGACCTACCCCTCCCGCACCCCCGCCAACCCCCTCGCCACCGTCGCAACCATAGCTGCTGAATTTGTCGACATCTTATCCGCCTTGGTGCCGTCTGCCCTCGGCCCGCACGACCATCCCACCCGTTCATCACATCCTAACCCTCACTTAAGCAGCCCCGACCTGCTCATCATCCTCTCCTGCTACATCCTTCTCATCCATATCTACGACTACATTCTTGGGCAGCTCCTAGCTCAGGTAACGTCAAATCCCGCGGCCTTGGAGACAGCCCTCCAGTCCGCCCCGGTGCTCTCCCTCGGCGGGCTAGCTGTCCCACCGCCCCGGCATCTCCCGGCTCATCTGGTGCTGGTGTTGTTAAACAACCAGCTCCTGCCCATTGAGGCTTTTCTCGGGATACCTGACTCTCTTCGGGTTTCGGATGTCAAGGAGGTGGGTGGGACCCCGACGGGTGGAAGGTTTGGGCAGGGGCAGAGGGATGGGCTCTTCAGCGGGGCAGGGGGGCAGGCTCTTTGCATGGCCTTGGTGCAGGTTGAGACCGAGCAAGCTGTTGGTGGGACAGGTGGTTTGGGTGTTATTGCCGCGTTGAGGGAGAAGAAGGTTAGGGTTCTAGAGTTATAGGGCTGTTAGAGTATCAGCCATATCTTACTACTATCAAATCTGGAGAGTATCATATATTAATATTTAACCAAATCCTGGCTGGGCCAATGAGATTGCTGGATTCTACTATGATTTCAACTTACCAGATTAAGCAGATTTTATAGTTTTCATTTCATTGATTATAAGTAATTAGTCAGACATCTAGATTGCTAGAAATCAGACCCTTTTTCATCCTGAAACATACCGCTCACTAGCGATTACCATAGATTCGCTATTATCGGGGATCGGTTGATATAGAGGTACACCTCACATTCAGCGTGTGGATAGCTTCTCTCTTAGATAGTATTGAATATCATGTTTCTATCACTTCTTCATTCTCTCATTCTCTCTCACAGGCTATGAGGCCCCGTAACTCATTCGAGGTTTCTCTTCTCATTCCCTACATCTAATTTACGCGTTCCATACGCGCTCTTTCATTCGTTAGTCCAGAACCAATCTCGCGGATCTCTACACTACAACTCTTCCTTCTTTTATGGTGATACTTACGCAGAATCCAGCCTGCCTTGTCGAATCTAGGTCTCGGAGGCCCGTGACCTGTCAAAATTTAATGAATCAACACCTACAATCCGCCCTAGGCCCAGTTAATCAACATGGAATGGGCACTGTTCCTACCCTCAAAGGGCGAATCCAACTGGATGACCTGCTACCTTATTCTAGATACATGAAGGCCAACCAGGTGTATAGCGATTGCTCAAACCTTGAACTCAAACCTTGAACTGTGCCCGATCGGCGTCGAGAGCGCCCAGTTCGCCGTGGGTCTCAAGATCCTGAAGCTGTCCCTCCAACTTCGCCCTGATGAGCTTGATAGCGGTGATGCTGAGAGGTAAACGCAGTGGAACTTTGTCGTTCCGACTGGCTATCTTGTACAGGACAATGGCAACGGCACTAGGCTCAAAGCCGACGCCGGCCGCCAGCCCCTTCTTCACGAACATCTCAAGCTGTCGGGCGGGCATATCAGCGGCTGCATATGCCGGATGGGGCTCGGTGTATTTCTTGCTGGAGGTTTCAAAATTCGTATTGACGGCACTGGGCTCGACGATGCAAAAGTGAACTAGGAAGGTCGAATACATATCAGTCATCGCTCATGTTCCTACAAGGTGAAAGGTGGCTTACTGTTCCAGTCCGGATGCATCTCTCGAGCGACAGACTCACTCCATCCTTCGACGGCGTGCTTGCTCGCGTGGTAGAACGCATGACCAGGGAAGGTGCAAATGCCCGCCAGCGATGATATATTGAAGATCAGGCCGCCGCGGCGAGACTCAGATTGACGCATCACCTCAATGGCTTTCAAGGTGACACGGACGGTACCAAAGAAATTGACTTCAAATTGGTCATGCATGTCATGCTCAGTGACAGATTCCGTATCGCCGGAAAGCGAATAGCCTGCATTGTTCACCACGACATCGATGTAGTAACTGTCTCCAAAATGCGCGGCGGCCGCCTTGAAGGCTGCATCGACCGCCGGGGGTTGCGTAACATCCAAGGAAAGCTTTACGATGGCCGGGTTATTGTCGTCGAGGTACGAAAGACTAGCTATATCTCTCGCGGTTGCGACCAGACGCTGACCTGGCACGGAGGCGACATGAGTCGCGATAGCACGGCCGATGCCACTCGAGCACCCGGTAACTATATCGAAAACAGTGAAGTCAGATTTTCTAGCTCAAGTCTACCTGACGATGATATGTTATCCGCTTACCAAACCAGGTTGCGTCACCTGGGAGCTGGTAGGGTTTCGTGTTGACGGTGTTCATATTGTAGCTGCAATGATGTGATTTACTTTGCTAGTTCCTAGCTTGGTATCTCCGCAAATAGTCTCCTTGCGGTGTTGTTAAATGGAAATCACCTTTTATTTTACATTTCGACGGTGCAGTATCGGCCATTGTTTATCGGCAATTGTTCTGTCGGACGTTTCAGGCCTCCCATTCGGGAATTTTGAAGTATGAAATTCGGCTATTACGGTAAACCAATAAAACTGATTAATAATATCTAGGAGATATTCATTATAGCCTTTGGTTTAACTAAAAAAGCGCCCCTACGCTGTAGTTCGATTATACTGAGCATACTACACTTGCGCTTTCAGGACAAACTATATGCACTTGATAAATTAGGATACTAGGAGCAAGACAGTGCAAGGCGGTGGGTGACACTTCCTAGGAATATTATACTAATGTGATGAATGTCTAATCTTAATATACCGTTAGTTTATAATAAGTATATTATTAGTGTATCTGGGATTTTATAAAAGATAGGCACTACTTTAAAACTGGAACTCTAGTCGTAGAAGATCTTATTATCTTAGTAGAGTGGAGGGACGTATAGTATTTATTAGATTACTACTTAAGCTTAACCCTAGACTTTCTGCTCTGTGTCTCTGATGTTATTGTTTAATATAGAAACTATCTAAGTAAGTATTTAGTTATTTACTAACTAAAAAGTAACTAAGCCTAAATCAATGATGATGATGGCTCACAAGTGCAGGGCGACAGTAGCATAGACTTGATTCTTCCTACCTACTAGGTCCTCTTAACTGGCTTCCTGGCACGACAGGGCATTAACTACATTGTGGAGACGGTAAAACTAGATCAGCCTCCCTTTCAAACAGAACAATAGCGAGTTCGTGTCTCTTGAAAAACAAAAGGCTAAAGCCTGGCTCATCGTCACGTCCACTATGTCTATTTTTGGTGTTCGTCGACCTAAGTCTATTTCATCCCTATGGCTTTTTCAACTAAGAGAGGATGAGCTATTCTGGACGTTGAGTGACTCAGCCAGAACGGCGGACAGGCCTTAGCAAGCCTCTACTACGGGCACTCTCTGTCTCTTATTGTTAATTAGAGCATTACCAGGATGCACTAGATACTTTGTAATCTATACCTATAGCTCTAGAGCTTTCTACATGCAGTAGGTCTAGCACTATTATATCTACCAGGCTGTTAGGTAGGTTTAGAGCTTACGTGCAGGGCATACAGTAGAAGATATTAAATAAATAATCCTCATGGCTGCTTGCTTTTATCAGTGGTATGCTAAGTTTAAGAGATAGAGAGCTTTGTACTAGTGAGAACAGGCAAATCCTGCCTGCAGGAGACTATGGTTAAGCTAGGTTTCTATATAATACTAGTAAAACTTGCTAGAATACTCTTTATAATTAATATAGACTATATTATTAGAGTAATATTCTTAGTAGATATCACATTCTATATGAGAGACCTAATAACCCTTATAAAATCTGTAGAGTATTATAGAACTAATTATATTTTATTTATCATGTTATTATGCAACTATTGGTGGTTCTGCAGTACTCCCGCAAAGCAGGTGTTGAAGCATGACCCAGTCTTCGCCTGTCAGATTTGAAGGTAGAAAGAGTAACAAATATGACTTGGAAGAACAGGTTAGTCTCACACCTATACAAGTATCAAAAATTTATTATATAGTAGTAGGAGACTGCATATCACCTGCAAATCGACCAACGAGGCCTGAGGAAATATAAATGAACTGCGACATGTTCTAGCAATGTTCCGCCAGTGTATCCAAACGTCATACTTAATTGACTCGAATAAGGCACCTATGGATCATGAATTCATCGAATGCTGAGATGGAATTTATTCTTAGACCATTTACGGGTGGATCAAATTGCTTGTAATGAGGCAGCCTTGATTTGGGAGAAATTCGTCCCTCGGTGATTCATTACGTGACCGAAATCTGGCCACTCTCTTCGTGTCCCCTGCTGCCTCAGGCGGACACCCTGGTTGTGATAAGTACATCGTTCAGTTCAAATCAATGTCAATGAGTCTCAATAGACGTTTAGCTTGATGCCAGTAAGAGTTACCGTCTTTGATAGCGCTTGCTTGCTAGTTCACAGAGAGCTTTCCAAAGGGCAAAGGTCCTCCATTGCCCCGCTGTTCGCAGCACTGGTCACCAGCATGTAGAATCGAGCAAGGGAAGTGATCGGGCAGTGTCCGACGCCTCGATAGGAAGAGTCATTCGTAGCTCGCTTCCACCATGCATCCACCACCTTGATCGTTTTGGGATGAAATAATTCCCAGTCTTGTCTTATTTCTTCGGGGAAGGAAAGATCCGCTAGCATAGACACGGTAGGTTTGTCAAGCACGAGGCACGCGTAATTGCGAGCCGGGGCTCTGATCCAGTCGTTTTCGTTGAGCCGCTGTAACGTCCGCAGTTGCGCTCGAAACTCCTCGCGAACGCGATCATCTGATGCACCGGACAAGGTTTCCTCATCTTCCACGACACTGAGTTTGAACCGCTGACATGCCTCGTCCGTGTAGGCAGAGGTAGACTGCGCTCGGATATTGCGGCGAGTCACTTTAATGAGATGATCCATGGCCCGGGGAATCTTTTCCAGCACGTCAGCTGAATACTCAGTGACGAATGCATAGAAGCCCCATGTTGGATCACGGCCTCTCAGCTGTTCTGCTTCGTTATAATCGAATTCGTGTAGTTCGATTTCTTTGAGCAAATCCCAGATCTCATCCTGTCGCATTGCGAAGAGTTGTGCATCCATCGGATGCACATACGTAGCAGGGTCTGCATCTTGGCGCACCTCCTCAAGAGGGCGAACAAGCTCGTTGATAATCGGTACAGAACCAGGCCCATAATATCGGGGTGTGAAATTGCGGGTTCTTGGGACTGGGCGTGTACGAAGAGTGGGGTCTGGCGGAGTGGCCGGGCGCTGACTAGCAGGCAGTCTTGCACGAGTAGACATGGAGGGTAACCTGATACGATGTTGGAGAAGATGCTCAGTGGAATGGACTGGCTTGGGAGGGACCCATATCTATTAAATAGTTCTGCTCTTGTCACCTGATCCGGAGCTCCGATCTACAGTTTATGCTCCGGCGCTATCACCTCAGTAACTAACTCTCCATGCCTTAGCTTCTCCTGTTATCAAATAATAATGCATGTGTCATGGTACGACGTGATCAATAAATCATGACAAGCTCGCTTCTGTGCGTTGAGATATTCAACTTCCATTCACCCCAACACAGACATAATAGTCAGGCCATAGACCAGAGCAATCTTTCTTGACAGCTAGACTGTACTCAGAAAATAGATTTGGAGTAATCCCACGCGATGTTGCAATGTCATAGCACCCATCGTCCTTCACAAACTATAGAATTTGTCACAGTTGATGGCCATTCCACTTTGCGTCGGAGTTTGGCGTCGGAGTTGGCCTCGGTATTCCCGTATTGGACGGAGTGGATTAAGAGACACATGACGAACGTGGCACAACGTGCGAATGCATTTGCCCAGATGTGTTTGAGTGAGATGCAGATTTTCTTCGCGAGTCAGCCGAATGATGGCTCAAACTCGAGGTTCTTAGTTCCATCGGGACATTGCGCACCTACATGGGCCTGATCACAGTCAATCTTCATGGACTCGACTAGAGGACGTGTGAAGATACGATGTTTTGATCGCCTACGGAATTTGTTCCTTCCAGCTGGGACGTGCTCTTATGCAACATCATCATCCCTTTAAATTGCAAAGTCCCAGTTTTGCGTGGATGTGGGTTCCTGTAGAGTATATAGTCCTCTGCCTCTAACAAATAGCCCATTTAGCCATGCTTTTGATCCCATCAGTGCCGATCACCAGATCAGCTTCAACTGGTGGACTTTCATCTTTAAAGTAGATGGTATCCCGAGCATCAGGACTAGTGATGACACGAGTCACTCCGTCACTATATTCCCATCGGGGATTCTCACGCGCCATAGCCACTCCTGACTACAGCTAACCATGTGCATCGGCAGCTTGTCTCTTGCGCCTGGCATAGGATATAGTCTATACCGATGAAAGATGGCTATGTGTGCTTTTTAGATTCCTGTGTGAGACTACATATCCACCTCCCTTGGGTGATATCTTAGAAGAGCTCCTCATCAGGATGTTTAAGAACATTTAAGCCATTGCGTCTGATACTCTAGGGACCTCTGCTCACTATGAGGGTAGAAGAATGCGTTGCTTCTGCTTCTTAGGTACTGCTAGTGTTATTAAATTTACACTCCTTGTTGATATCATGAGCTTTGCAGATGTTTTATGTGGAATCGGGGGAGTATTTCTTGAGCTGGAGGTAGGCAGTGAATCTGGAGATGCCTGCCCCAATGATGATGATTTCCATTTTGGATCGATCCGATTCATGTAGACGTCGATGATTGAAATCCCTCCAAGCCAGGTATCAAGTGAATTCGTCTGCCTGGTGACGATCTGCTGACTCATTACCTCGCATTGCGTGGGCAAAGTTTGTATAGCTTCAACTTTCAAGCCCCCCAGAGAGGGATGTTGTCACGAGACTCCCTTTGACTTCCAAAATGCTACTGCCTCCCATTATGCTGGATTTTGTATTTTGCCACTAACCACAGCCCCATATACTACGGTAGTAAGCATGCAAAACGATAACTGTGGCCGTCTCTCAGGTAACTTCAAATTCGTAGCCCATGACCAGCTGACAGTATGTGCTCTGCTACCACCATTCAGGAATTCTATGCTAGTGTAATATCATAAAATAGGGTTTCGGCGTTCCTGCTGATCGACCTTGGGATCCATTAAGCCCGAGTTATCCAGGGTTGATGTCATGTCCTATTAGGTTACATCGCTCCATAAAGTATGATGTCCACAACTTTTGCCAGACTAATACCTCACCACCCAACACCTTGACGTTGGTCTTTGTAGACTATTAAAATTGTCTAACGAGGTTGAATTGCACAAGCACAACATCATCAATGGCGGACGAAGCCGAGAGAGCAGCAAGCGTTGACCACCGCCTCGAGTCGGTATCCTTCTTTGATGCGAAATTGAAAAATGTACGACAGCAGGTTTTTTTTCAATGGGGTCGCACCGGTATGTAAGATATCAAAGGATCATGGCGAGATGCAATCTAACGTGGATAGTTTTCATCCTGTGCATCTACACACTTGCAGTCCTGTCCTTTTTCTGGGGATCCCAGTTTCACACCGAGGCCAATCAAGCAGCCCTAACTGTGTGGGTGGTTGATTTTGACGGCCGGACAGAGCCATCCTACACCAGCAATCCGCTTTTAGGACCTATCGTGGTCGATGTCGTGAATCGGATCAGTCAAAACCCAACTGGACACTGCGGCTACACTGTGAAATCGCCTGCCGACTTCGAATACAACCCAGTGGCCGTGCGGCAAGCCATCTACGACGAGCACGCCTACGCTGCCGTGACTGTCCATCCAAATGGGACCAGACGACTGCACGATGCGGTATCGGGGATAAATCCCACTTATGATTCTAAAGGCGCCATTGAAATCGTCACGATTTCCGCGCGCGACCAATCGATATACTCGACCAAGATCCAGCCGCAACTCCGGAGACTGCAGGTGGCCATCATGAGTGAGTTCGGCCCTCGTTGGACTCAGGAACTCGCCTCGCAGCAGCTCGCCAACTCCAGGGATCTGATACAGGCGCAGGTGCCTCCACAGGCTGTGAACCCGGGAATTGGATTCACAACCATCGACCTCCGCCCATTCAGACCAGCCGCCGCGATGCCCTCAGTAACAGTCGGCCTGATCTACCTCATCATCATCGCATACTTCAATTTTCCTTTTCTTCTGCCTGTTCATGCGCAGTTCAACAGGAGCTCTCATGACCAACCAACGCTAAAGATCTCGCACTGGATAATCTGGCGTATTACCTCCGCCATCGCAGCATACCTCTTCCTCTCCCTCTTCTACTCCTTCATCTCACTAATGTTTCATATCCCTTTTACCAATCCTCCAGCCCCGGAAACTCAACCCAGCGATAACCCCAACGGCTACGGCAATGCCTCCTTCATCATATTCTGGATGCTGAATTGGGTTGGAATGGCTGCGCTAGGCCTTCCGTGCGAGGTCATGGCCATGGCGCTGGGATTTCCCTGGAGTGGCCTCTTTCTTGTATTCTGGGTGATGAGTAACGTTACTACGGGGTTTTACTCGCTGAATTTGGCACCGGGGTTCTTCGCTTGGGGGTGTGTGTGGCCCTTGCATCGGAGTAAGTTGCATTCTTGCCGTTATACGTTGGTGATATTGACTGACTGCACTAGTTATCGAGGCGCTGCATACGATCTTGTTTAATACAAGCAGTCATATCGGGCGGGATTTTGCAGTGCTGAGTACATGGGTTGCTGTTTCACTTATTCTGTATCCTGTCGCGGCGTTGATTATGTGGAGGAGGATGAAGCGGGGGAGTTAATCTCCCTCCTTCTCACCATGTTATTGGATAATATGATATTACGATTGCTGGATTAGATTAGATCTGGGACACAATATCTCACTATAATAACTCCGGACTCCCTCAACTGTTTTTAACGCCACTGCTAGTTAAGGAACCCTATTTCCTTCCAGATGTGGATGTATTTTCTCACCACCTCCTCGCTTACTTTGCCAACGGCAGCAAGAGTTTTAGAATGCTCAAGGGTCTTCCCCGTATCAAGAATGAGTCCTCCACAAGACATCCTAAGGTAATTGCTATCGAGGAATTCGAGAAGTGTAGCAGCGGGATTATTCCGCATCGGCGCCTCACGCACTCGTTGCACCCACTCCTCAAACGGAATCAAAGTCTGGATATTCAGCGCATCAGCAAGAATGGCATTCGTTTCGCGCCAGGGCTGGCCAACGGGGTTCTCGATATGGTAGACAGGGTACGGGGAGCGGTCCGACAGGATGAGATCCGCCAATGTTCCGGCAACATCATTGACAGGAGTCCAGTAGACGGTGCCCGGCACATCCGGTAACGCATTCAAGGTCTGCGATGACTTGATCAGGAACCCAAAGTGCTCCATTGGGTTCCAGTACCCGCTCGTCTTGGACCCAGCGATCTGTCCCAGCCGGACGGCCATCACGCGAAAGAAATCCGGATACCGATGTAGCGTCTCATCGAGCATCCGCTCGCACCCCCATTTGGCTTCGCCGTAGCCGTTGGGCAGCACGGCGTCAATGCCCACTCGTTCCTCCGGGACGGTGACCTTGTTCTTCTGGGCCAGGCCGTAGTTGCCAACGACGCCAATAGAAGACACCATTTGGAAGCTGAACTTGAAACTGTGCGGACGCCGAGCGACAACCGCGCAGGCAAAGTCAATGAGGTTGCGCATGACTTGGAACTGGGGCGCAAATCCCACCAGAGGCCGCTTGGCGCTCATGGGCCATGCATTGTGGATGAGGTGTGTCACTGAGCTTACAAGGCCCTCGTATTCACTGCGCGAGAGCCCCAGATCTGGCTGAGAGCTGTCTGTTTGCAGCACCAGGAGTTTGCTTTTGAGAGCATCAGGGAACCGGATGCCTTTTTCCCGCATGGCGTGATACTGGCGGGTGTAGGGTTCTTCACTCGCCTTTCGGTTCAGGCAAACAACCGTCCTTACATCGGGTAGTTGTGCAAGATGGTAGACCAAGTGGCTTCCCAGACTCCCGGACGCACCGGTCACCAGAATAGTCTTCGTTCCGTCGCTTAAGGCTGTCGATCCTGCAGCTGGCGGCGGCATAGTGAAGCCGGCTGTGTACTTCTGCACAAAAGAGTCGACGGCCCTCAGCCGTTCCGTAGTGGTAGCAAGATCACGCCGGGTTTGCGATGGCGAGCACTTGGTAGGCTCAGGAGGAGGGAGAGGAGCGCTCTCCTGTGGTGGGCTGGTGTCATCGGTGGTCTCCCCTACCAACACCTGCCTCAGGTCACCTATCGTAGGACACTCGAGGAAAAGCGACTCATGCTGAATGTCGAGATCGAGCTCATCGCGGAACCGACTGATGATGACGAGCGACAGGAGAGAGTCCACCCCCGAGGCCGCAAGATCGGTATCGTCCGTCAGGCCCTCCAACTGAATTCCACTCTCCTCGGAGATTATCTGGAGAGCCCGAAGAAAACTTACCTCCTTGGGCAGAAAGTCATCGTCGGTGGTTGGTGTGCTCACGGTGGTCGCGCTCGATCTCGGCGTGGGTAGTGTCTCGACGGAACTCGGGAGGGACGAGACAGTCGGGCTGAACCAGACCTCACTGAAGAAGCCCTTCAGGTCGGAAACGGTGGGATAGTCGAAGAAGAATGTGCTGAATTCCATGTCCACGTCGAGCTCTTCCTTGAAACGAGCCGTGATGGTCAGACTCAGCAGAGAGTCGATCCCGACATCGGCGAAGACGGTGCTGTCCGTCAGATCCGATACTGCGAGTCCGCTTTCCTCGGCGATGATCGACATTGCTTGTCCAATCTTGGACCCAGGTTGGCTGATATGAGCCGAGTCGTTCCCTAAGCTCAACGACGGAGCATTAGGTTTCTTGCCCGCACGTTGGCTCTTTTCTGTACGGTTCCCGCTCTCGAGAGACAGAATGACCTTGAGTATTCGGCGCGGCACGCCTTGTATCTATAGACAGATTAGTCGATATTCTGCTGCATAAGGGCAAAGACGAACGGCAAGCTGTCCAAAGTATCCGACGATCCTATCGCCATCAAAAATCACCACGTCGCCATGCCACAGCTTGTCTGCCCCCTCTACCATTCGTGTGTAAGTAGTGTACTTCTTCTCAAAGTCTACAGGTTCGAAAAGTTGAAAGGAACTCCATCCATGGTTCATGAACACTTCGACATCGAGGTCAGTGTTGTCATTGCAGTTCATAGCGAATCCGCAAGACTGCGTCAGTGCGTCAATAATAGCCGGATGGGTGTGGAAGCTCCCGCCCCTTTTTACCGTGTCAAAGCTCAGAAGGCTTGAGGCCTCCAGCGTGTGGCTGTTCAGGACAATCTCATCGATGGCCCGGTAGTCGTCGTGAAACCGAGCCAACGGTCGAATTGCCCGGTACACCATGGGCCGGTTGAACCGCGCCGTGGCTCCTGATACGATACCCTGTCGAAGGGCTTGAATCTTCTGCTTCACATCTGCAGCATCCCTCTGGAGGCGTTGCAGAAGGTCTCTGTCCTTGAAGCGTACAACGCATCGAGCGTGCCCCTGTAGATTTTGATTTGTCTGTAATACCTCTTAGCGCACATAAACCATAACAGGAGCTGAACTCACGTCAAAAGACATAAACTCGATTGCTGCTCCATTGGAAGACCAGTCCACATCAGCATGGGCCTGAAGCAACTGCTCAGTCGCCCCAGCCCGGAGGATTAGGGGCTTCCAAATGGTCATTTCTGAAACATCCACTAACCCGAAACCCGGAAGATAATGCTCCAGGAGGTAAGTTCCCAGGCTTAGTGCGATATCCGCGTAGACGGACGGAGTGCAGAGCGGAACCCCATCTACCTCATGCCCTTGCACCAGCGGGCTCAGATCTGGCCGGGCGATATTTGCCTCAACGACAATACGACCTTTCTGAGCATCGCTCGTCTCTTCCAGAACCCTGTGGATCGTGGTGCTCTCCAGTGCCGGCGCGGGGCTTGTCTGTGTCAAGGGAGGATCTCCCTTGCGCAATGACCAGTCATTGACGTACTGTATCCAGTATGGCTTCAAATCCCAGCAGTACGCCGGCAGTGGAATCACTTCGTGAGCAGCAGGAAAGTCTGCATGATATTGTGCCCAGTGAATATCGGCACCGGCAGTATAAAGAGTTTTCAGGGTGGCCGCCAGAACTTGCCAAACTGGTCTGGCCCGCTGTAACGAGGCCAAGGATGGCACCTGCGGCCCGAGAACCGCTTTCACCATCCCTGAGACAGCCGGGTGTGGGCCGATTTCCAGCGTCATGGTCTGGTCCGTGATGATACGTTGACTTTGTGCGGCCAGAAGCGCCTGACGCATGTTGACTGGTTCGCGAGTATGGCGGGCGAAGTAATCTGGGCCAAAGCGGCCTTGGCCGTGGACGGTACTGCCATCCAGGGGGCAGATGACGGGAAGTTTGGGCGTGGAGTATGTCACACCGCTGGCTAGTCTTTGGAGATCTGCCAACACCGGTTCAATCTGGGACGAATGAAAGGCGTATGGCACGCTTAACAGAGTCGATTTGAGACCTGCATCTGCGAGCAAGGTTCTGATTAGGGACATATCTCCTTTACGTCCAGCCAGGACGGTTTCAACGGGAGAATTAATGCACGCTATTTCGTATGCTTGATTCTTCAAAACAGCAGTGACCTCGTCCTCCGAGCCCTTGACCACCAGCATGGCATGCGTGTCTCGAGTGCACTTCGACTGGAGTAGTTCTGCCCGCTTTCCCACCAGATAAGCCGTGTCCGCATCCGATAAGACACCGGCAACGTTGAGAGCTGCATATTCGCCCAGGCTGTGTCCCACGACGGCAACAGGCGTAATGTTCCAGGAAGCCCATAATTCGCTCAGCGCAATCTGCAAGCAGACGCTCGCCAGCTGCACAGCAGTTGGCGCAAATCTACCGATGTCTTCGGCGTCCGAGAGGATCACTTCCAACATGGACGGAAAGCCCAGAGACTGTCCGATCTGGTCCAGGCGACGAATCCGGTTCCGGAAACGAGAAAAGTTCTGAAACAGCTCATTCCCCATGCCAGGGTATTGTGCTCCCTGTCCGGTAAAGGTGAAGACAATTTTCGGTCTGCCCTTTGGTCTCGACGTCCCTGTCTGATCGCGAAGCGCCGCCTCAATCTGTGCACCTAACTCGTCGACATGGGACCCAATCAACATGACGCGGTGCTGATGATGGATACGCCGCGCCGTCGTCGTGTACGAGAGCTTGCTGAGAGAGGCACCGGGATGCTCCTGCAAGAACCTTTGGATGGAACGGAGATTCCCCTGCAGCGAGACACTATTCTTGGCCGATATGGCAATCAAGTGATGGCTGCGCGAGTCTGCAGGTTGACTGAAAGACTCCTGTTTGATCGGCGCGTCTTCCAACAGGAGGGCCGAGTTTCCACCCGCGGCGCTAAAGTTGTTAACGAAAGCCAGCCGAGGCTTGCTCCTCATCCACGGTGTTGGTTCCAAGGCGATATGGACATTGCGTTGCTGCAGATCGGTGGGAAATTTGTGGTTGATGCGGGTCTTGATCCCACAGTGCGGGACAATCGTATTCTTCTGCATCATTAAGAGGACCTTGATCAGGCTCGAAACACCAGAGGCAGCCTCGCCATGTCCAATGTTCGCCTTGGCCGACCCCAGAAAGAGTGCCTCATCCTTGCTACGGTACCTCTTGGCCCGATCGACTGGGGGGGCAAACGTGTCCAGCACGCTCGACATTTCTCCCGCGTCGCCAGTTTGGGTGCCTGTTCCGTGCATTTCCACGTAACTCACGCTGTAAGGATCAACCATGCTTTGATTGAGAATCCTTCTGAAGACTGCACATTGCGCTCCAGCATGTGGCCGGGTAATTGACTCTGACTCTGCCGAGTGGTTCGTGTACGCACCCAGGATGACCCCCAGAATGGGGTCGTGGTCCGCAACGGCGTCATCAAGACGCTTAATGATCACTGTTCCGACGCCTTCTCCCCGACAATACCCATCCGCTGAGTCATCAAAGGTTTTACAGTTCCCCGTTCGGGAGAGAAAATGTCCCCTGTCAAGCCCTGCCGTGAAATCCGGGTTGGTCAAGACGTTGGTCCCACCGGCGATCGCGGTATCGATGTCTCCTTCCCACAGTGCATTGCAGGCCAGATGAATGCCTGCCAGGCTAGAGGAACATGCTGTATCGACTGCGAAACTGGGACCACTGAACTTGAAATAGTAATTGATACGTCCTGGGATGAACGCCCGATTTCCACCCGGGATGAAATACGTGTCGATATCCTGGGCGCTATTGGTCTCCATCCAGTCGTTGCTAGTCACTCCATAAAAGACGCCAACCCGGTCCCGTCTAGTGGACGGAGTCGCGTCTGGTACAATGCCAGCCTGCTCAATCGCTTCATATGCGGTCATGAGCGCCAGTCGCTGCGCCGGGTCAATCTGCGGTGCCTCTCGGGGCGAGATGTTGAAGAAGCGTGCATCAAATGAAGCTGGGTCATCGAGCCAGCAACCAAAGGGGGTTGAGCTGGTGTTTTTCTGCGCTCCAGTGGGGTCGACATGGGTTTTGGCGTCCCAATGAAGTGCTGGGACTGGTTTGTGGACATCAAGTCCTTGGTACAGAAGATCCCAAAACGCCTCGTTGTCGTTAGCACCAGGGAACCTCCCCGACATTCCCACGATTGCCAGCTTCGGTTTCCCAGGGTTTGAATACGGACTTTGTGGTTCAGCCTTCGGACTCCTTTCTGGCATGGTCAACGACTCGCAGAGCGGCGTCTGTTTGAGCGCCGTGTGGATCAGTTGATCGGCCTTTGTCCCGATAGGGGTTATCCTCATTGTCTTCGGGGACACTTTCTGGTGCGTCGCCTGCAGCTGGTCAAAAATGCTACTCCAGCAAATGGGCTGTAGCAGTATCTGCTCGACCGCAGCCTTCCAGATTGCGTCAAGCCCTCCAGCCCTCACCAAAGTTTTAGTACTTGAAAGGAGGAGCATTTGCCTACGTGCGTCGCTGCCGCGTGAAGCCAAGCTTCCAACGATCGCCTCGACATCATTTTGGGAGTAAAGATGCGTGGCATGATACGGTCCGTATATATTGATACTGTCAAACCTGAAATCCTTGAAGGTGCTGGAAACAGTCATCTGAGTAAGTGACGAAGGCGGGCCGCTGACCGTTATCCCGTTGGGTGTAAAGGCGCTGATATAGGGCTGCCTGGTTAGGGGAAGAACCTAATCCAGCAGCTAGTCAGTCCCGGGATATATGCATATGGAAGACAGAATATCGCATTTTCCTTACAGTCTGTTCACAAAATTTGCGCACGGCTTCCGCAGATGTCAGGCCGCGAATAAATATTGACCAGCTCTTAACTGGGGCGTGCAGAGGCTCAAGTGTCCGCGTAATGTCCGCCACGAGCTTGCCGGTCCTGAAAGCTAGAACGACTGCATCCACGGCTATTGGGATAAGTTCAAGTGTGCTCCGGCTGCAGCTAACTGCCGCCGCAGCCAAAGCTCCAGTGCAGATGCCAAGTACAGCAGAATCCTGTGCGGGATAGCGCCCACTCTCGGTTTTACTGGCAATGCTCAGCTTGTTAATAGAATAGGTGACAGAACCAAAATCTTACCTAATAAACGCTCCAAGCTGATACATGCAGGTCAGAGCCATATCTAGGGGTATGCATTGTCGGCCATCTTGCTTCCATAAGATCAGGTCATCAAGACAGGTGAATCGAGGCATGTCAGCCCTGACCTCATGCGGCAAACTGTATAGTTCTTCGCGAATTGCATCGTATGATCTGCTGAGGAAGTTTTCCAAGGCTGGATTATGCCTGTTGCACATCATCTCCCTCAGATAGGGCTGTGGGTTGTATGTCTGGTCTCCGAAAAGAAACAGCTCCAGATGGTCTGCCATGTTGGTGGTTACGGGTTGACACCTGTCTAATTCTTTCCTGGTCTTTGCTTTTATCGTAAGTTCGACCTGTCTCAACTGCAACGCCAGACATGCCTAATACCCCCGGGTTCCTTATTAAATAGCCACCGTCTTGCCCTTCTCCGAAGCTTCGACGATTCGTAATGACATAAAATCATTGCGAATAGTCTCCTTCGGGATTTGCAATATGCTTCCATGACGTTTTCTATAGTTTGACATGGCGATGACTCTTGGACATTAGCACAAGTTGAGGACGGAATGGTTGCATCCACATCTGAGTTTATTTTTTAACTCCATAAATTAGGGATTTAAAGTCTTACTACGTTACATTTCTCATTTAGACGGCAATGCTAACTTTGAGATAAACTAAAAAATAGAGCCGTAGATTAAGATCTACCTATGCAACACTGTACGTCATGTTTTCAGCCTGTAGCTATGATTTGCCCGGGCTGTCCAGTTATCCTTCTTTTACATGATCCATTCCCGTCACGCTCATTAGTTATGTAGGGGCTAGCTGAAGCCCTCATATTCTTTCACCATTGCTCTTGGGCAAGTAATACTGACAATTCTGCAACAAAGGTACTTGTGACTTGAGCCATATCTAGTTTCTAGATTTATTCTTTTTTAGACCGTTGGATAAGGTTACATAACTTAAATATGCTTAAGGTTTGACTATATAACCTAACTCTGCTATGACGTTTTCTCTAAAGTTTACTAAATGATATTGAAGTATAGATATCAAATAGTGTATATCCTTTATCAAGTTATAGAGAATTAAGAGATGAATATGTTAAGGGTAGTCAGTAGTCACTTAATGGGACTGGCCTTAATTCATTAAGCTATGGTCCTGATAGAGTTGCATAACCGAACCGCTAAAATCGAATCCAACCCTCACTGAAACCGGAGCGGTGAGGTTCGGTTCCTAGATTGCAAACCCGCAGCAGATTAGGTGCGGGTTAGGGTCGGATCCAGGGGGCACCGGTTAAACCGCTAGAAACTGTTAAATCCTTGTAATCACTGATTTCTAGGATTTCTATAGGGATATTGATATTGCTAGATAGAATAGCATCTGGGCTATCTAGATATGAAATATCGATCTAAAATATCTAATGGTTGAGGAGATATAAAGGAATAGTCGTATGGAAGTGGTGGGGAGTATATATATATATATATATTTAGACTAATAAGTCTAAGGATAGTATAGCCCACTAAATAGTATCATAATACTTATAGTACAATATATTATAGTTCTTTGAGCATAGGTTCCGTCAGTCAGTTACTCCAGCCTTCCAAGTCTTCGTAGCCGTGGCCACGTATCAGGCTATGATCGGTAGAAACTCGTAGGAATCTCACCTTCAGCCAGCCACGGCGTTAAACTAGCCATTCTTCACTGGCTCAGGGCCTCCGTCGAAAATATCACCTGCAGCAGCTAAAGGCTGACTGCATAGTCTGCAACAAATGCTTTGATTGACCTGTCATGGTTGGGATGTGGCGTCCCAAGGGTTATGTGCGTTTGATATTTGGCAGTGCGGGGCGTTTTCGAAAGGCCAGGCTGGGCCAGGCGATGTAGATACTTATATCTGCGAGAAGGGAATTATTTCCGTCTTTATTTTTCTTTTGCTCTCCCGATTTCGCATTCTTTTTTATTTGCAGTCCTTGTACTTGTTAGCATGGAGTCTTCTTTGCACCCGCACTAGCCCTACCCGTCGTTCTTCCCAAAGACAGATCTACATTCCTCCTGTTCTGAAGCCAACACTAGGTTCTAAGATTAGATACTGCGAAATTCGGACAGTCTGGACCGTCATCTGGCGGTACAATATTGGTTGGGCTCAACAACAATTTCATAATGGACAGTAGAACTGGGTCGCCCACAAGCAATACCGATCATGAAACTCCCGCAGACCAAGAAGAGACCGTTGAGAGATCCTCAATACGTGATATATCTGGCAATGAGAGTCAAAATAATGAGCGTACTGACGGGTCATCCGCTGTGAACTCAGTCCATGGGCGCGCGGAGTCGCTTGGGGCGATCAGTCCGACTGGACCGGAGTCGGGCGACGAGGCGACCACGAGCGATGAAGAGGTCGCAAGTCTCGGCGTATCTCAATCCCGCGAACAGAATACTGATGATGGTAATGGTGATGGCTCGGCCGGAGATCGTCTATCCGAAAATTCAGACGAAGGTGAAGCATATAGGCACGAGCTGGATGACGATATAATGGAAGCTATTATAGGAGCTGCGGCTGAAACTGGGAATGATGCGAATTCCGATCAGTATACGGTTTCCAGCGGCTACCCCAGCGGCTACCTGACCGAGCTATCTGAATCCAGCAGCGACGATGGCCGACATGGAGATGCCAATCCGGGCACGGCAAGCAGGACAACCAATGTTGTTCAGCTTTTGGAGCACCCACCCAGCGGAGATCTCTGGGAAGCTATATCTGATCACCAGATCGAGCGAGTGGAAGAGCTTCTAGCTGGTGATCCGGAGTTATCGAATTCAAAAGCGTTGGTTGAACATGATGACGAGGGGCAAGAACCCTTTGTAACGCCGCTATATTTGGCCGTGGTCTACCGTCAACCTCGCATCGTGGAGGCACTCTTGAAATATGGGGCGGATGTCGATGCATTTTCCACTCATATAGCTGGTGGGATAAGTGCGCTGCACTCCGCAGCCATCATGGCCGACTACACTAGTGTGAGGCTGCTGCTTTCCCAGGGCGCAACCATTGATATTCAACGGGCTAGCGGAATCACACCACTCCACGACGCAATCACGCGGCAAAAGGTCGACATAGTGCAGTGCCTCCTGGAGGAAGGGGCGGATCCTACCTTGCGAGACAATGAGCTGAACTCGGCCTTCCACCTTGCTGCGCAGTTCGACTCTGTGGAGATCTTGGATCTCTTGTGGGCAGCGACAGCTGACCCTGAGACTCAGATAGCAGAGGTGAACGCATTACGCAGCACGCTGCTGCATATCGCGAGTGGCAATAATTGCTCAAACGTGGTGAAGTGGCTGCTGGATAAAGGGGCAGATCCTAGCTTGCGCGACGGAGCGCAGAACTCAGCTTTCCACCTCGCTGCGCAGTTTGACTCTGTAAAGATCTTGGATCTTTTGTGGGCAGCGACAGCTGACCCCGAGACGCAAATAACAGAGAAGAACGCATCGGACAACGCGCCGCTGCATACCGCGAGTGCGAATGACTGCCCCGAGGTAGTGAGATGGCTGCTCGATAGAGGCGCAAACGTTGATCAGGTGGGCGAATATCAACGCACGCCATTGCACATGGCCAGTATAGAAGGAAACGACGGCATCGTCTTGATCTTACTAAAGAACAGAGCGCAGATAGACCCACTAGACTCTGACTCTCAGACTCCTCTACTGCTTGCATGTGCGAATCTGCAGGGCGAAGTGATGAAGACTCTGTTCTACCACTGCGCCTCGACTACAACAGTCGACTCTAGTGGACGAGGCTGCCTCCACCATGTGGTTCAGGGCCACGACCAGCTTGGTGAAGGGTCTAAATCATTCCCGGAGTACCTTGAGTACCTTGCCGGGAGGGGTGCTGTTGTTGACCAAGAAGACCACCATGGATCCACCCCGTTGATGGATGCATGCCAGGGCCAGAACCCGGAGTTGATCCAGACCCTGCTCGACCTTGGCGCTGATATCAACCGGAAAGGCCATATGGGATGGACGCCTATATTTTACGCATGCAAAAAGCCGGACAATGGGAGCCTGGATCTTCTTCTGAGACGCGGTGCTGATGTTACTGTAACCATGACGGGGGAATATACCCCACTCCATGCAGTGTGTAGCTGGGGGATCATTAGCAACGTCCGGCTTTTGCTTAAGTACAACGCCCCCGTCACTGCTCTTGATGGTGATGGCAACACGCCCCTTTTAAAGGCAGCAGATAACAAGGCCGTTGACATCATGCTCGAGCTTATCAAGACCCGGGAGTATTTTCCAAACAATCCGGTTACGGATCCGGCGTTCATTGAGCCCCCAAAGTCTGCTGCCAAAATTGTCGGGGTCTTTCTCAATAGCTTTGATGTAGAAGCCCGTGGCTATTCAGAACGTGATCTGGAGTCTCTACTGCACTGGGCTGTATCGCACGGCCGCTTCGAGCTGATCCAAAAGTGCCTTAGATACAGACGTAAAGCATTGTTCTGGAGAACTGGGGGAGAAGCCACATGGCTCCATGTAGCAGCTCAATACGGACACAGCGGCATTATCAATAACCTTTTCAGTAAGATTGATGCCGCCAAAGAAGCCAGTGGGGGGATTACTGCGTTGAACGTTGCAACTGCACATGGCCACCTCGACACAGCTCGGGCGTTGCTGGAGATCATAGCGAGAGACTCTCCCAATGCAGACGAAGCCAGTTGCGCAAAGGCTAGAGCAATCATTCACTGGAATGGTCGAAGAGAATCGCCTCTTACACTATCCATCAGTCGAAAGCACAAGGACTTAGAGAAGCTGTTCTTTTCCGAGCTGAAGGCCCTAGGTGAAGTGAGCGGCACTACCCTTGACTCAATCAAAGAAAGCGAGCTCCTCGAAATACTCGCCGAGTGGGAAAAGCCGGGGCGCGAGTCTCTGCTTAAGCATTTGCTCCAGCACTGGCTACCTGCCCCGTCAAATACAGATGTCAGATACTGGTCGGCTCTTCACTGGGCCGTTCACGGATCTGCGGCCGTGGTGGTCTGGTGGCTTCTATCGAAGGGGGGATACAGATCGGGCGATGCGATCAGAGACTGCCAAAAGGATCCTCTGGTGAAAGCAGACGCAATCGGGCAGATCATTCAGAATCTCCTACGGAATCCACCGCCGCAGATGTATGAGATTGCGAATCCGGTTGATGACGAGCGGCCCTTTCCCCCGAGACCGATGGACTGGGAGAATCAACGACCTGATCTCCATGGGTTCGTCATGACTGTGTACTCTCAAAATGGAAAAACCGTCGTGCCATACACGAGAGATACTCTCCACGGCATCATTTACAGCCAAGGGCCGACTGCTCTCTCAAGGCGCGTGGAAATGCTCGAACAAAGAGACTTGAATATCTTGAAGAAGAAGCTGGGAAATGTTTTGAGCGACGACCAAAGTCTTCCTAATATCTGGAATCAATCTCGAACTCCGTCTGGCGGAGTCAGAAGCACTATCACCCATCGCCGGCTGCGGCATGACTTTAGTGGCTCCTCGGAGAACCTGAAGCTCCGTTGGATTCATCTGCCTGTGAATGAATTGCAGTTAACCAAGGTTCGCCAGCCAGCATCGCCCGTGAGTGATCGATCCTAATATGGTTGACCAAAGGACCTCGTAACGAGACTGTCGCACGACTCTGGCCGATCGGAGATGGACCATAGGAACTTTATGAAGTTCTTCAACAGAAGCTGGACTGAGCTCGCGGCAGGCGCAAGGCAACATTATATGAAGCCGCTGTGTCTGGTACGCATTGCGCCCAAAATTTCTAGTTATTTTCTAACTCCCATGGAATATCTAGCGCGCGCAAATAGATGAGCGCGGTAAATTCAGAACTTGCACCGCTGTCTATGTGCGTGGAACATCCTGTCTCCCCTTGTTCCTATCACTAAACCCACAACAGATGCCGTATCTGACACTGGGTGAATACGACCCAAAGAATCCCAAGAAGAGAACTCTTTCCGGACTAAAGGAAAGTGGAGATGACAACTTGATCAGCAGAAGAGATTCCAGACACATCGCTCATGTCCCGCTGACTCTCGACCAATATTACTACCCTGGGATCTCTGACACCAGCTACCGAGACAAGACCCAGGTCTTCTCAAAGTACCTTGAGGAGCACCATGAGAAAGTAGTGTCATCAACGAGCAGGTCAAAGAAGAAACAGATATTGATGGTCGACCAGCTGTGGATTTGGATCATAGATGATCGTACGACTAATCGCTCCAGCAGGGATGATTGCAGCTAACTTTGATCGACTAGAGTCAGTCATTACAAGCACGTCCCAAAGACAGGAGGAGTCATCGACCGTGTCGTCACAAGATGCGAGGGATTCATCAATGAGCACTCTGCTACAGCATGTCCTCAATGACATCGCGTACGGTGAGACCAGAGGTCGCTCCGAGCGACCCACGTCAGTGAATGAAGTCATGCAGTTGGCTCTCGGGGCGGCTACTGGATTCTTCATAGAAAAGTGTGTACAACTTGCAGACGGCACTTTCAAAGGACCTTTGGAGGTTTTCCGGGAGTCGATTCGTGATGTGGTTCGTCTATTACAATAAACGAGAATTCAGCCGCGCATATCACTAACGACCGATTAAGGCCAACAGAGAAACAGAGCTCTTCCAGAACTTCCTGAAGGATCTCAAGCAGGAAATTGAGAAACGTAAGGCGCGCACCGAGCGCATTTCCTCGAGGAGCGGTCGGCCGTCGATCAGAGAACTGCCCAACAACCCGCATTATATCATCTCGGAGGAGACAGAACTTCTCGACCAGATCCGCGATATCAACGATGAACTCCACATGCTGCGGTCATTGGCCGAGGATCAGGAGATCGTGTGGAAGCAAGCATTCGCTGACATGGAGACGCAAGGTCGTTTCAGTTGCACTCCTACTGAGATTGCTCGAGATCTGGATGGAATGATTCTAGAAGCAGAGATGACTCGTGACTCGGTGAGTGTCTTGCGTTATGGATCTTTTACTGCTGTACTGCTCACCAGCCAACTTCTCTAGATCGATACGCTGCTCGACCTGCGCCAGAAACAAGCGAGCCTTGCGGAGACCGAGGCCGGTCGACTACAAGCGAACGACACAGCGCGCCAGTCGAACAACATCTACGTCTTTACTCTAGTGACCATCTTCTTCGTAGGTCCAAATTACGCTTCCAGAAGCCATGCTGGAACCCAGACTAACTTCTCACGCAAAAACAGCTCCCTCTTTCCTGGCTGACCTCCCTGTTTGCGCTGAACATCGCCAGCTTTCCACACAACGGCGGAACGATCGAGTACCAGCCTCAATGGCTGTTTCCTATCCTCTGTGGGGACTTGCCTCCCAATCTCAAAAAGACCCGTGCTAACATAGTACATGAAAGTCGGTGTGACGAGCGTGTTTTTCAGTATAGCCATTTTCGCCCCGTTGAGGGTTGAAGCGTTCCAGGACTGGATGTACAATCGCAACGGGGGTGGACGTGCTGATGGGGGCAAGCCGCCCAGTCTGCGGCCACCATCACGGTCCAGCGCGAGTAGTAGATGGAGCTCTTACACAGGCGACGAGGACGGGTCAAGCTCATACCTTCCTAGCGAACATCACGACGAGAGGGGGCATCAACCGACAAGGAAAGGGGTCAGGGCTCGGCTGCAAAGATACTGGCGGAGACACGCGCAGAGGTCTAGCTCAACAGTATAGCGTCTTCTAGCTCGAACAGTAAATTGAATATATGTGCGATTACAACCGTGCGGAAGTCCGCCACCGGGGATCTGGTACAGTAGCATCAAGGACCTGGCTTATCCTGGTAGGTCTGTGCCTAAAAGCCTTTTCTGGTCCATCTCCTTCTATAATGAAGAATGACAAGAATCATTATTTAGACTAAATGTGTTAATCTTTAAAGCTTGAGGCCTACGACCACTTTCTTCAAGGAAAGCGCCCAGTATAGTCGTCAGAGGGATCAGATCCACTTTATTGCTGTGTGAGTATGGAGATAATAATGGCAAATCATAGGCCTAGTCCAAGAGGAACAGCCTGATGATGAAGGCCTGAAAGGAGACATTTTCCCGCACCGACATGGCTTAAGCTAGGAAGATAAGAAATCAAACCGAGATGGTAAAAGTACGCAAGTGATCCTGATGTAGATTTGCTAACGCCTTCCAGTGCATCGCTTGATAGTCCATCGACTCTGTATTAATGTAGATCACGTCATGCTGGTTCGAAAACCCATTGAACTGAGTCGCCGTTGCTGTGGTGTAGGCTTCCAGGTATAGTCAGTCTTTGGTTCTGTACTGGACAGTCTGGCATGCAAGGACTCACCACCCATATTCTTGTACTTGAGCCAATCACCTATGCGGATCTCTGAGTTCATGGGCACATCTTTTGCAACACAATCCACGCTGTCGCAAGTGGGGCCCCAGATAGTGTATCGATGCTCCTGGAGTTTCCGCCGAGTATCGTTGTCGTGGCTGTGAAATGGCCAAGTGTACGCGACCAAGGATGGCCGCACAGTTTCTTTCTCAATCAGTACGTTCATAAAACTTCCATATACCCCGTCGTTCTGGTAGAGCATATCTGGCTTATCGTGATCATCCGTACCGATGTGACGCCGTCTGGACAGAATCTTGCACACGAGGGTGTAGGCACTGCGAGCATAATAACGCCCCGGCTCGGCAATCAAGCGGACCCCAGGAGGAAACTCTTCTTTGAGAATTGGTCGCAGAGAACATGCAATATCTTCCAGGTTACAGTCCTGGAACCCTCCACCAATGTCCAGAAGCTTCATGTCAAACCCCAAGCTCTTGCCATATCCGAAGACAATCTTGGCATGCCGGATGGCGTTCACATAGGCTGATGTATTGGAGGCCCCGGTTCCTAAAAGAAGATGGTGAATACCTTGAGAAAACAATGGCCCCTGCGGAAGCAACATACCAACATGAAAACTCACCCCGCACACATCTAACCCCAGTTCTCGTGCTCGTTGCAATAGAGGTAACGAGGTTTCTACTGTGGCACCGAACTTCTCTCCCAGGTCTATCAAAGCATCACTGTCGCTGGCAAATATTCGCAGGACAAGTTGTGCATTTGGTAGGAAGGTTCGGATGGTATCCAGCTCGTCAAGGTTGTCAAAAGTCGTTCGCGTCACACCGGTTCGAGCCGCAAAAACCAAAGAGGAAGCAGATTTACAGGGGTTGGCGAAGATGATGCGGCATGGATCGACCCCTAGACTAAGAACTGTACGTAGCTCCTCTATCGAGGCGCAATCAAAGCCTGTGCCCAGGTCTGCTAGAAGTTTGAGTAGATTAGGATCGGGGTTGCATTTCACCGCTGCAGCCGCCGACAATTAGCATCAAGACGAGGGATGTCAGAACCTTGGATGGAAGGAGGGGGGCACACACCAAAAAAAGGGTGTACGTCTGGCAGGTTTACCCTCCATCGGCGATGCTGGCGGATAACCTGACCCAGATCCGCGACAAAGAAGGGCTCGTCAGCAATTCCCCAACCACGGCTGTCCAAACTTAGCAGACGGGTTTGAATCGCCAAATCAATCAACCGCTCTGTCGAGTCCATTACTTCGCAGTGAGGTCTGGCGCAAGACTGGTGTACCATGGCTCGGTAGCGATGGTCACCTTTCTTATGGCAGTACATGCTGACCCATCGTTCATGCACAGACCATGAAGTCACTGAATCCCATTAGGACATGAACGAGCGGAATGAGGTAATAGAATAGAACTGTGGCAGTTCAGCACTTGCAACCCAGGCTGATCGGGCCACCAGAGTGAATGTACAAAATCACACATACGAGGGTTCAGCCAGCCACTGTCTCCCAATTGTATTTTTGGCCGATCCATGCAGAATTGTGGCTTTCCATCACTCGTTCCCTGTATTGTGAGCTGTAGGAATGGTTAAAAACTGCAATCCAAATCACAAAAAGCAAGCATAGCTGAATCACTTATGGGGCAGGACGTCAGGGTGTTGTATTCTTGCAAATCGTCACCAAATCCTCTCTTATAGATCAGCCACCTACGCTTCAACCTTACCCAATAGCTCCGTTGTGGATCCTGGGGTTCCCCATGCGTTCTGTCGCTGCCAAGGAGGCAAACAAATAGTTTACCCAAGGATCTGCAGCACGTCCTAGAGTGATTGGCTATGACATCTCGCGACCTAAGCTGCCGTCCGCCGCTCGACACAAAAAGCCATCGTGCACTGAACTCAGCTGGTCTTACGCGCTCTGATGAGCAGTTCGCATTTGGCTGATGAGCGAGGACTAGGCTGGGGCAGTTCTAGCCAAAAGCACGAAGAAGCAATCTTGTCGATCACCTCTTGGCAACCCCACGTCAGCATCAGGGACTGGCCCAGGCTCCCCTGGCGACGAGAGATACACCTGGCTGGGGAACATGTGTTCCCTGCCGAGACCAATCAGCCCGCGGGAATCGTACAGAGGGAGCCCTTGAGGCATTTACGTGTGTTGCAGATGTCTCCGAACTGACAAATATCTGCGGGGGTATCCTACAGCTGCATGCTTCTGCATGTCCTCGTTTTCTGTGTTGTGACGTGACGCCTGCCAGAGGCTGGATATATGTGATAGTTTGGACGCAAGCGTGTCGCCAAACTCAACTCGTTTTCCATCATCTTGTTCTGGCTTTGATTACTAAATGACAATTACAATCAACTACTCCAACTCCAACCATCAGATCCCCAACTCAGATTTGTCCAGAGTATACTAGACTGAGCATTAGGACTGCGTAAAGACATGGTATCGAACGCAGTCTCGACGAGGTTGTCGCCATCATGGCGCTCTTCCCGATGGTTTATCCTCACCGTCGTGTCCGTTTCTTACATGACGGTGTGTCTAGCCATGGACGGCCCCCGTTTGGTAGTTTCACTAACACCATTCCGACTATTAGACGCTGTTTCTCTATGGCATGGTACGTGGTAATCAAGTTCATGCAGTATGCTCCTTTTGCTCAGCGGTTTTTAGATCGTCCCCATTATGCCATCCGCCCTGGTCGCTCGCGCGGGGGTGCTGCCGCAAGATAGTATGTATTCGTCCCTACTTCAAATGGTTGTCAGTGGTTGTGGGAAGGGGAAAATCACTGACAGTTCCATTCCAATGGCTAGAGGTCTACTGGACCAGTATTATGCTCGTCGCGGAAACAGCTGCAGCATTTTTCACCTGCCCCGTTTTTGGTTACTGGGTTGACCGAACGGGGAGGCGCAAAGTTCCTTTCCTTGCGGGTCTCGTTCTACTCGCTGCGTCAATGTGCCTTTTCACAGTTGCACGATCTGTAGCAACGTACATCATTGCTCGACTCTTGCAAGGCGCATCTGCCGCCATGGTTGAGGTCGCCGGTCTGGCACTTTTGAAGGATGTGGTCGGAAAACAAGGTCTCGGGGAGGCCTTGGGATATATGGGAACAGGAAGTATGGTCGGACTTATGGCGGGCCCACCCATGGGAGGCCTCCTAAACAAGGTTGGGGGATACTATGCTGTTTGTGCCCTGGGGTTTGCTATTGTCGCTGTGGATGCGGCACTGCGTTTGGCTGTATTGGAGAAGGGCGAGGTAGAGGAGCGCGGCATCAATTCTGCCCAGTACAGTGCTATTCCTTCGACAGATCCAGAAGACCAAGACGCGGCTTCGGGTGTAAACACAGCCCATCCACCGTCAGGCTCAAATGCGCAACGGGGCGTCGCTTTTGCCTCGCTGGAATTGCTGAAGCAACCGCGAGTTGCAATCACGCTTTGGGCACTCGTGGTTGATGGAATTATTATCGGTGCTTTTGACGCGGTGGGTGCTCACAGGGCTTTAAGCAGACGCGATGACTTTTTCTGACCAAAAAACTATCAGACCGTGCCCAGCTTTGTGGAAAAATTGTTCGGATGGGACTCGTTCGCAGCCGGCCTCATCTTCCTCGTCATGGCGGCACCGTCGCTTTTAGAGCCGCTGTTTGGTAGGTTGAACAACTGGGGCCAATACTCTTGCCCACCAAAAGCACACAATGCTGATACTTCTATAGGAAGGCTGTGCGACCGTTTTGGGGTCCGCATCATGGCAGTCATTGGATATTCATTGCTGACGCCTTCATTGGTTTGTCTTCGGTTTGTGAGCCATGACTCCGTCTCCCAGAAGATTCTTTTCGGCGTGTTGGTTGCTTTCTGCGGCATCTCCCCCGATCTCGGGCAGCCGGGATTGTACGTCGAGTCACAGATGGTAATCGAAGAGATGGAACAGCAGTCCCCTGGAATTTTCGGTGAGAAAGGGGCGGTTGCTCAGGCCTTTGGTCTGCAAACCATGGCTAACTACGCTGGCCTGGCCATTGGCCCCATCCTGGGTGAAGCTCTGTTTGACAACTATGGCTGGAAAGCGATGGCTTTGGCCTTGGGGGCACTGTCTGCAGCGACGGTAGTGCCCTCCTTTTGGTTAAGTAATCGGACCTACGGCCATGAGACTGAGGAGACGGAAGAGCAACACCTGACAGTAGCAGCACCGTCCCCCTATGGGACCCTTTAAAGCGGTTAGCATCGTAGGTATCTATAACGAGACCAGAAGTAACTTATGAACTCTCATCAACCACGCAGTCATTTCCTCAGCATCCTTCGTATCACAGATTTGCAGATCATCCTGCCATTGTACTAGGAGTGCGCATGAAGCTGTCTGGTGGAGCCAATTTCAGCTCCCCCAGCTGCCACGGCGATCCTGTTCTCTCGGTGCAGTTGATCCTGTGGCGCAATTGCGTTTTCCTTTCAGCCCGGCCCCCATTATTTTCCAGACTGAAGATCCCGGCCGCGTTCATCAGCTCTCACCCTCAGCTGCTGCAGCTCCTGATTGGTCTCGGGGACTCGGGGTTGGATGTGATCTATGCATGATCATCTGTGTATCCCGCCAATTACAAACCCCTCATAGCGAAGAATGCATGGCCTGCCTTCTATGAGACTTGGAAGCGCCCGCTGGTGTTCAGCTGAACCTCAAATCAAGGAAAGCTGACATCGTACTGCTGACTAGCGGTAATTGTGCGTGTACCCCACTGCCAGTATGGTCTCGGGACAACCGACATACATGCCGCACACCACTCCTTTCATGCCTATAAGACGCTCTTTTCTTCATGCCCCTGGCAGATTGTCCAACTGCAAGTTGTACATCAAATCTATCCTGCAAAAGGCCATTCCCGCATTATGTTGCCTCCTCTGGAAACTGGTCGCTTCTTTTTTCCGGCCGAGTGGCATCCTCATCTTGCTACCATACTTGGTTTCCCATCCCGAGCATCGACTTGCGAGGATCTCCACGACGAGAACTGCAGTGAAATAGTCGACCTTGCCGCTGCGATTGCAGAGTTTGAACCTGTTCGGCTGTACGCGCGTCCAGAAGACGTATCTGCTGCCCAGGACCTTGTTAACCGCAAGGTAGCCGATCCCTCCCAAGTGAGCGTCATCCCCACGCCCATCAACCACTGTTGGGTACGCGATACCGGCCCGGTGTATGTTCATGACGCGTCCGGCGAGTTAGACCCAAAGCAGCGGCTGGCGATCAGCTTCGAATTCAATGAATGGGGCAATAAGAACGGATGGGAAGGTATCGATGGGGATTACAGATTCGCCAACCCTTCCATGACGCCGGAGTGTTTGCAGGAGAACACCGACTTCGCTCGGAATGTCATCGAGAGCGACACCACCCCATCGCCCGTGCAGGTAGTGAAATCACGCATCCGCACGGAGGGCGGCGGTCTTGTCGTCGACGGCGAGGGCACCTTGATTGTTGCCGAGAGCTATATGGTCTGCGACCAGCGCAACCCTGGCCTGAGTCGTGATGAGATCGAAGTAGAACTGCGCCGGGTCCTTGGCGTGGAGAAAGTCATCTGGGTCCCTGGACGGAAGGGACTCGACATCACTGACTGCCATGTGGATGCTGAGGTGCGATTCGTCCGCCCGGGTGTCCTCGTCTGGTCACGCCATCACCCCAGTGTTCCACAGGTGTGGTTGGACATGTCCCACGAGATCCGGAACATATTGGAAAACGAAACAGACGCAAAGGGCCGGAAATTCGAACTACATGCGATTGACGAGCCCGGTCCGAAAGACCTCGGGATCGAAGAGCACGACGAGTTCGTTTCGGGCTACGCCAATTTCTATTTCTGCAACGGAGGAGTGATTGTTCCTGGATTCGGCGTCGAGGAGTACGACCGCAAGGCGAGGGAAACCCTGGAAAAGCTGATGCCGGAGCGCAAGGTGCGACAGGTGCAACTCAACGCCATTCCCTTAAGTGGTGGTGTGATCCACTGTGTGACACAGCAGGTTCCAATGCCAGCAGCATAAGTATTTGCTCCATCCCTCCGATGCCTTTGCAAGATTGGCGTATACATTTTGGGTGTAGGCTACCTTTGGAGCCAACATGTATGGCTACCAATCAGCCTCTTATATGCGAAATTTTGTTGAATATAGCTCTACATGGTTCAGATGATTCCCGTTCCACACTGGGAGATATACACATCGCCCGTCAGAGTCTGTTTATTGGAAGGGCTGTATTCCGAGAGGGATTCTATACCGTATAGTTGTAGATTGAATGAAAGATGAAATGGATGAGAGGAATGAATGAGTTGACGAGATGAAATTTTAGATGTTGGCGACAGATCCTTGCAGCCTTCCCTCTACGTGTCTATACCTGGGTGATGGCTCCTTGCTTCCTAGTGTTCACGCCATTACTTCTCTTAAATACCAGTTAACTTTGAAACACTTTCACCTAGGTGCCTGCTTCTGGAATGAAGAACCAGACCATGAATCACATGTGGTGGAGCTAAGCATACCATACTAAGACCTTGATACATGAACTGACTTGTTCGGCAATTGGAGATAGCCTGACACACAGTTTACAATTATATATCCTTGAAGCACAGCCCAGGAAGCACTTTAAAGCGTGGGTGCACACCAGATGCCATTTTCCTGAGCATTCTTCGTTTCACAGCACCTCCAAGGTCACCGCCAGGCGTGAGAATGTTCAGATCGTACTCTGCACCCCTGCCAATTGCTTCAAGGGCCAAGTATCCGGGTGCGTATCGTTCAACATCCTCTTTCCATTGATCGCGATCGCCTAAGGCCATCTCACTGACGAGATCGTCCGCTGCTTGGGCATTGCACAGGATGTCTAGAATAGGCAAATCCATATTGAGCCTAGACAGATAGATTGTTTCTTAGTATACTTCTACAGTAAAAGCCAGAATTAGGTAAACTCACGGTGTGTTCTGAGGTGTGAATGCCCCCTCAGTACCCTTCACATCGTCTAGTCCTTTTCCAAGCGTCCCATATTGCAGATAAGGCTTGTGCATATTGAAAGGCCGAATAAGAATAGAGTCCTCGACGTCACCATTGGCCATAAATGAAGTCAGGGAAAGTCGGCCTGTTCGTAGCCCCTCCTCATCAACAAGCGCAAATGGGCCTGTGTCCCCAAGATACAGAATTGTCCCGGTGCGAGTGAGGTATATTGAGCTGAAAAGGGCAGTTTCGAGATACATCCAGGCAAGGAAATCTTCAACGGAAAGGTTACCATTACCTCTCACGGTGGCTGGGTTTGGCACAGCTTCTGAGGGCATGTAACGAGTTTGTAGACAGTGAGTGATCTCCATACCATACCCATAGAGCAGAATGACGAATTTCATCCATCGCGCTCGATTGATGGGGTTCGTGGGATCCACTGGTACAAGTGAAATGACACCTCGCAGGTCGCAGGGCTGTTGGGTGTCGTTTATGCGCTCTAGGGCCTCGGCCGGGTATCGCAACCCTCCCAAGACCTCACTATGGCTCTCCGTTCCCGGAAGGCCAATGGGTGCGCGATCATGGAAACTCTACATTACCAGGTAAGCAGAAATTAACTTATCCCTAGCAGAAGGTCTGCATACATTCCGGGACTCCTGTGTTGCGGACGCCCATTGCTCGACGAGCTTCCGCCGTTGGCGCAATTCATAACCCCCATCGTCTTCCGCGATATCGGCCTCGGAACGACGAACCCAATTTTCCTAGTGCTGTGTTAGTCCCTCGGTTTCCCTCAGACAGTGTGTAGAAAGACAATAATACTTGGACAAATAGCAGCCACCCCTTGACCTCCTCCTTCATCTGGTCAAGGGACAGGTCATCCTCGGGGTGCGGTTTGATGCTGCAGGGTATGCCACCCGGCCAGTGCCGGACTGGTCGCGTCATTTCGGGCGTGCTGGTTTTATGCTTATAGAATTGCTCGTGCCTGTATCTTGGAGGAATAATCTGGACAGTGTGAACAAACGAACCCCCAAAGAAAAGGGGCACGATCACTTCGCGTAGAATCTGATTCTATTTTCAGCGGCTATGTTGGCTTGCGGAGTGAATTGTTTCAGGGGAAAATTGAAGCCAAGCTACGGCGTCCGAGTATTGTTAACTTGCTAAGCCTCCTCTTATTTAAGCTTGTTCGGTGCCAATAAAAATGGATGTGATCGGTCCCTATGGAAGTGAGACGACTACCCCGCTTATTAAATCCTTATGTAGGGTGGATACCTCACCACAACCTTGCATGCGAGATATAATATCAGCACGGGGTAGCAGAGAAATTTGTGGGGGGCATTCTTTGTTGTGACAACCAAAAGAGAAAATTGAAAAGCCCCACAATTTCTGGAACTGAACACGCAAACAATAATTGCCTGTTGTTTATGGACTTTGGACCTTGCTACTCACTCGGGCCATGGATGTTTGAATAGGCGCTTTGTAGCGATTCTGTATCGAGCCATGGCAGAATAGACGTCTAGGAGGCTATGAGTCCTCCTATTTCTCTTCCCGTCGGCCATTTCTGTCCTTACTCAGACTATATATTGTAATACAACAAGTCCCTGTGCGAATGATGCATACTGTCAGTATAAGAATGATCAGGCGTATATGTCTAATTTCTTTACGAGCACTATTTTATGCCGAACACGTGAAAGCAAGAGCTGACAGCACTTCCAGATCTGTGGTTATGGCCCTTCTGCGAGACCGATTGCATTAGCAATTGCGAAGGAGAAGCTGAATTTGGAGAGTATGCGGAAAATCCCTTGGCTTTCTGCACGTTTGAACGTGAGGTTTTCTCCTCATTTGTAACGTCGTTTGTGGATATTGATATTGCCTGGTTTGTTGCTCGCAATGCGGCTTTGGTGGCACTGGGGACGACTTTTGCGGGCATGGCTGTCAAGGCGACAACTGCAGAAGCATTACCGTACCCTCCGAGCTGTTTCATGTCTGTTGGCGGCTGGTCGCTCAGTGACCCGGGGTCGTCACACACCTATTGGTCAGATATGGCTTTCACCCATCATAGTCGCAAGACTTTTGCCAATGCGCTTCTAACCATGCAGAAATACGGGTTCGATGGAGTGGATCTCGACTGGTAGTATCCGGTGGACTCCGACCGAGGAGGCAGCGAGGATGCTATCGACTACTATGAGCTCTGATTACTTTTGCTTCGCGAGGTTTTCGATGCATCTGGTGAGGCGTACGGGATTACTTTTACTATCCCCTCAGCTATTGGTTCCTCCCAACACTTCAACGTTCCGGAATGCTAGAGGTTGGCGTCGGTTGGGTAAGTCTGATGGGTTACGACTCGCATGGAGTATAAGATGGCGATAATCCATATATTGAGCTGCTTCAATTTTTTTTTCCTTTCTGAAATTTGTTTCTCTTACTCTCGGCAACTGACCATTGAAACAGGTATATTAGGAAAATTGTAGGCTCACACACCAACCTGACTGAGAATAAGCAGTCCCTGGTCTTGCTTTGGCGCGCAGGAGTCGATCCCTCCCGAGCTGCGATGGGAATAGGCTTCTATGGCCGATCAATTACTCTCTCTGATTCATCTTGCACTTGCCCCGGCTGCCCCTCTGAGTCAGGAGCGGCCGCCGGGTCATGTACTGATACCTCCGGACTTTTGTCGTATAAAGGTTATTCAGAGTTGAATTTTCTGTAACTCGAGAGCAATATGGCTGACTAATTGTTACGGAAATCATTTAGGTGATCAACGAGCAGGCAGCTGAGCCCATCTGGGATGAGGAGGCTGCCTTCAACTACCTTGTTTGGGAGGAATATCCGTGGGTTTCCTTTGGGAACACCAAAACCTTCCAGCAGAAGATCAACTACGCGAACGAGGTCTTCTAGGTGGTGTCATGATCTGGGTGCTTGATCAGGATACCTATTACTGGCAGGCTCTCGCCGGCCTCCTTGATCTGGATGTTAATGGCAATAGCCTTCTTCTGGGCGGTTCATTATCTGAGTCAGGGAAAAGGGCACTGGCTAAAGATCTTTCCGCATGCACATCGCGCAGATTGTCACGTTACTACGTGGGTGAACTGGAGCACAGGGCAGTGCAGCGCAGGCTGCAATGCTCTTGGTTATATTCATTTTGCTTCCTTGGCATTGTGGAAAACCCAGACAAGAAATTGTGCAAGTCTGGTCTTGAGGGTTATGAGGATGCTCAGTACCGACTCATCCGCTGCCCTACTGAGGCGATGCCTGAGGGTTGTAGCTGGGAATGTGGCATTGACTTTGGTCTCTGCACTGGTGGTGACGACTTTCATGGAGATGGCAAGTACAAGTTGGTGGCTGATTCATATAATAACCATATGGGGGCCGTTTTCTGCCTCATTAATAAGCGATCCCTTTGGTGCAATACTGACACAGAGTTGGAATAATGCCTGTGGACTGACCTGTCTCAGTGATGATTGGGCGGTCAATAAACTAGGGGCAGAGTGTATAGAGGAAGTAGTAAGTTATTTCCCAGCTGACTGTGCGGTAACCTCATCAAATGCCAACAGCTATAGATCTCAACCAAGATAAAGAGTTCTGTAAACCAGGTGACTCTGCCTTCTGCTGTTAGTCTGATGGTACCGACCCCACTGTTGCAATGAAATGCGTACAGAGTACTGACAACTACAGACATATATAAAAACTGTGATTAGTACTCCTGTGATTAGGAGTGCCCTAGCGACAAGTACCTCATCATACAGCGAACAAGATTGATAGTTGCTTCAAGTGCACAATTTTAGCACATGTTTGACAGGATATAATAAGTATTGCTGTGATCCGCCCTCTGGCGCTGGTACCTGGCCTGTGGACCCCGTGTATCTGTTTGATTATCCTGATGAGGATGATGTAATGCACTACTATAAGGCTGAGGAACATCCAATGACCATGTTGAGACACTTGCTTTCAGAATCAATAATTGCGTTTTGCTAACTGTATCAGCAAAACAATGAAGTTAAGGGTCCATTTGCATTTGTTATGATTGACGGTGCTCCAAATGCATATCATGAGTCGCTAATTGACAAATGGACTTTCCTCACAGATGAACAATTAGCCAAAATGTCAAAATGACATTTTCGAGAATTTATGTCTAGTCTTTGTTAGCACAACCTCAATATCAATGGAACCAACGTCGACCCTTGTATATACAACCATAGGGTGTGGAAAACAGGGCTTCCCATCCGCTCAGCTGTACTTAAGCTATATATAGAATGTGGTCAATTCCCAGAAAGCCCTTTTCCCTCTAAAATAGTAATATAATGCTTTTAGTATAAGTGTGAGTAATATAGGTGAGGACTCTAAGGGACCCTATTACCCCTAGTAATAATAGCTTATTAGTAGTAATAATAGCTCTATAGGGGTGATGATAGCTCCATAGGGGTGATAAAGGCTAACTTAGTAGCTAGCTATAGAAGAAAATAGTAATTTAGCTACTTTTAATAGGCTCTGCACCCTGAAGGTCAAAAGATAGATCTATATAAGATTTAATCCTCACAGCTTCCCCCCTCTGTAATTATATAATATCTTATAACTATAGCTTCTAATAATATAAAGTTATAAAAACTACTAGAGGAGCACTAGAGACTTATAGAGTTATATAGTTTTACTCTTAAATATTAAAGTAAGCAGGAAAAAAAAGAAAATATTATAAGTTTTCTAAGGCTTGCACTAATAACTTAGGATAAATATAATTAAGTAGTACTCTAGTGGGCTTTATAAGTATCTACTCTAGTTAAGCCTAGGGA